AGTACTTTTGGAGATCAAACTCACAACAAAAGTATAGATAAACCAATGCTCTTTATGACTTGTTATTATTGGTAAGACTCTTCAAAACATCGTTCTTACGTAATTTTTCTTTTTCTTCTTGAGATAACAATCTTCCAAAATCTCCCTTTTCTTTCCTCTCACTATATCTATCTACTAAAAAAGAAGAATGGTCTCTCAACATCAACGAAAACTTGACCAACTCTTCAACTACATCGACCAATCGATCTCTCAAAGGACTAGGTTTCATTCTGTTATATTCATCAAACTCTTGCCAAGCTTTAGGAATAGAAGACTGATTTGGAATAGTAAACATACGCATCCACCTTCCCAATACTCGCAATGTATTTACTGCGTTAAAGGATTGTGAACCTCCATTCACTTGACATATAGCCAAAGTACGACCTTGTGTAGGACGCACGGAACCTAAACTAAGTGGTATCCAGTCAATCTGATTTTTAAAACAACCCGTTACGTTCCCGTGCATTTCAGGTGAACACCAAAACTGTGCTTCTGACCAAAGAGCTAATTCTCTCAATTCTTGGACCTTGTGATGGGTTTCCTCCACTTGACCTTTTACAGGTAACTCTGTAGGATCAAAAACTCGTACGTCTGCACCCAAATAATCCAACAATCTGGCTGCTTCATAAGCACAACAACGAGAGAAAGACCGTTGTCTTAAGGAACCATACAATACTAGTACTCTTAGTGGTCTGTCTTGAGCTTCCTTTTCATACAAAGACTTGGCACCAGAAATATCTATATCCTCAATCCAGTCATTCTTGTCAGAGTCTAAACGAAACTTTTTCCATTCACTCAAGTCCTTTTCAGCTGTCAATGGACAATCCATTTCTCAATGTGTATACTCAACAATATCTCAAGTCTTATTTGTCTTTCAAATATACTCATTGATTCTTATGACAACTTGTAAACATCATTTCATCATCATTGATAGCGCAAAAATAGAGACGCATAGCATTAAACATCATACTTTTTTAAAATAGAGAATCAATCCACATTCTGACTTGTATTAACTTTTTGAGAACCGTTATGTCCCAAAAGTATGAGCGTTTTTATGCTCGGTTTTGTAACGAAAATTAGAACAAGAAAAAGCTCTTTCTGTAGCAGTTTACAAGGATTGGAAGAGACTTCCTTCTAGTCTAATGATTTCAATAAAAACTTGAGAAAATATTTAAAACCTGAAAGAATTGGATGGCTACTAGAATATGTGAGAGAACTCGTTTTTGTTCTCTTACTAACAGGAGATGCGACTGAAGCCACAAGATGTTAAGATAGAAAAGGATTCACCTGAATGGGCTTAACCAAGTTTGCATAGTTACTGTCTCTTTTTAGTGCCATTACGGCAGAAGACATCATTTTGTTAAAACCCTCTGAACAAGCTCCCAATATTGCACACTTATTGGAAGCTCTTCTTTCACAATATTTGAATGTTGAACGTTGTGAAACTGAAAGGGGTTAAAACTAGGGGAGCTTCTATAGCACATAAGATCATGAAAACTACTGCCAAACATCTTTCTCCATTACTATCCATTAGCTAGAAGAAACTGATCACGCGGTTACAAAAGTTGTGATTGGCAAAAGATGTGAGTCATGAATGTTATTTTGTATGATGATGACAAAAGACTGCGAGAATGATTGTCTCGTCAGAGAGACTTTCAACTGTGATCAGATATGTGTTTCTGTAGACTATGCAATGACTCAGTGATTATTCTTATATAATGAATGCAACTCATTTTGATCATCCAGTTGTATTATTGAACCATACTCGCGGTCAAATTGTATATGGGTTCTTTTGATAAGCCTAGTTCTGTTGTTATATATTCTTTAGGTGATTGTTTGATGAAGGAAGAAATATTTGGTCCTTATCAGTCATTAGAACAAGTATATGTCATGGTATAGTGAACATTCGTATTATATATATTTTCCAATGATTCACTAACAACCCCAAGGCACGATAGTGATGAAAATCATGAAAAATAGACAGAGATGGTCCCAAGATTTCTGCGTGCCATTTCGGAAATAGAGTCGGTTTTACCAAAAGTGGAAATACCTTTATTATATGGTTCGTCTCTATGACGAGATTCTCTCACTAGAAAAAACTTACGTATGAAAAATACAGCATAAGCAATAAACATAAGACCTCACTCAGAATTCAGTTAGATTCCAATAAATAACCTTGAAAATCTTAGACGAAGGGCTGATTCTTAACCAACGATTACAAGAGAAGACTTTCTGTACAGTAGCTATAAAAGTTAAACAATATTGAAATAAGACTCTGTAAAAGTTCGCTAACTTTGTGAGACAGCCAAGTGGGTCAAGTAATAAAAATCAAAGAAGGCTTCGAGTCCTTTACCTTGACTCTCTCCTCCACAGAGAATTTCCATAAAATTCTAGAATTTCAGTAACAAGAGTTCTTACACGAATAGTCTCTTGATGCTCTCTTCTCTACGAACACAAGAGGAAGAATAGTGTTGAAGTTTTGCATATTTTATTGTGATATGTATATTTTTTGTTATCTAATATTGCTTTCGAAGTATATTTTCAATCTTTGTCCAACGTGGACCGAGTTCAAGCTTGGTTGTGTAACTTTAGTCAGTCAAATTCCAACGAAGCTTTAGTTTACTTTGTGAATATCTTTCAAGCTCTGAATTGTTTTTGTTGTAACCGTCCAAGGACTCCTCGCAGACCTTGAGCTCCACTTAGCCTTTAGTCTCCTTTTGGTACGCCCAACATGACAAACCTTTGTTACGCCTAAATGCTCTGTCAAGTCCTTGTTTGGGTTACGGTGGTGTTACTAGGACTTTCTAACAAAACGACAACAAGCAGCGGACTATGAAAAGGTTACTTTTCTTGTGACATAAAACTGTATGAACTTCATAGTATCCAAAAACAACTTGGGATTGAAATAAGTTCTTTCAAGTATTGCTTGACCATCTCTTGAATTCCTTCTCACGCTTGAGATTACTTTTTTTCAGAACTATTTAGACCCGTGTAAAGTTTCTGTTTTCTTCTTGTGACAGTTATCTTCCAAAAATCTCTCAGTTCTTCTTTTCTTACACCTGTTCTCTAAAATAAAGAGTCAACTCTCAACATCAAAGAAAACTGGTGACTACCAGCAATTTGCTACGGCTGTGTCCCTAGGAATCAGCTTTCAATCTTTAGAGTTTACCGAGCCTTTTCAAGTTTTAAAAACGGAAGACGGGTTTAAAAAATATATTGCTTCCTAACACAAAAGACACGTTGCATCAAAGTACAGTTCCACCCAGGAAATCCACCGGTGTGAGATGCTCCTGTCACCAACCCCTCTGTGTGAAAAATTCTCATAGAGTTTGCGCTGAAACGATGGTAACAAGTTTTACTTTGGTTTTGAGTTTGATCGCCCTGACCGGACTCTGTTAGAAATCTTACTCTATCAGAAGACAGTATGAGAATTCGACAACGACGAAATTGTAACTTTGATAGTTACTGTCGGAAGTTCTTCTTTATTAGCGCAAGTAGTTCTTAAAAACACTTTATTCTGACAGTAGCGAATATGATAGATCTAGTTTAAGAAACAATTGCGAGAAATGCTGCAACGACGTTAGTCCCAAGTAGAAAATACGATGTAACTATGAGACAAGATATTATTGCGTTATCCTCAAAATTAAAGATATTATCGTAGACATAAGTTTATTACAATAAAACCATAATTCTTCCTTCCTGTTGAAATTTCGAGACAACGATGACTAACTACGTTGTCCAAAAAAATGAAAAGTACATGTATACTTTGCAATGTATTTTTCAACATAGTGATATTAGTCCCATCAACGTATAAAAAAATTGTAGACTGAAATTGAGTTCAAATGACGTGATAAAAAAGAATTTCGTGGTATAAACTCAAACTAGTTCAAAATCTCATTCAAATATTCATATACGATACCCGCTCATCGATACAAACCAATGAATTTTAAACCTGTTGATATTTTGAAACCTATATAAAATATATCTTGACAGTACAAGGTATGCAAAGTAACATAGCATTTTCTCGAAAAAACAACTGCAGCATTGCGGTATACCAAAATTCATTTGATACAGACGCAGAAAGAAAATATTTGTGGTGCATTCCTTCGTTTTCGATAATACGAAGCATCTGACTAATACTTTTAACTAACAGTGCCATCAATTTCGTAGAGACTTTCATCATTTTGTTGCTCTCCACAATATGCTCGACTCCGTTTTGATTTAGCCTTTGATAACGGTAATAAAAAGGCAACGGACAAGAAAGAAGAAAATATCATCATTAAAAAATACGAGATCCAACCAAACGTCCGAACTGCTAAAGTCACCGGGAAACCTGCCATTGCAGCTCCCAAGTAGCTGATGTAACCCAATAGACCTGTGGCTGTAGCAACGGTTCGTCGATCACTCTGTTCAGCACCAATAAGACCAATGAGACACGTGGGACCGCTGAGAAAAAATCCGAATAAAACAACAAAAAGAAAATCCAACCAAACATGGTTCACTGCCATCGATGACAGCAAAGACACTAACAGAAGGGTAACAACCAATCCTATTAAAAATAATATAACGACAGGCACACGATGTCCTTCCAAGCGATCAGACAGGATACCACTGATGAATGTTCCGGCTAACCCGCCAATATCCATTCCACTTACTCTGTAAGCTGCGTCTGTTGCGTGGCATCCTTTCTGTTGCATTAAATAAATATGAAAAAATGACCGAATACTGGTTTTCACAAAGTATACGAAAAAATATGATAGCGCTAAGAGCCACAGTGTTCGATTCTTCAAAACTCCCGTCACAAAAGTTTCTAAATACTCAAATGATGAATTGAAGCTCTTCCCTGAGTTTGTTGTATTTCCTCTCTGTTTCGTGTCACTTTGCACATCAACTGAGAGACCAGCTTCTTTAGGTGTGTCACGAATAAGCAGTGAGAAGATTACTCCCGCAATCAATGACGATATTCCTGGAGCTATCATGCCTATTCTCCAGGTCGTTCTGCGTGCAAGTGAACCTGAAACAATCGGTGCTAAAACGCCACCTACATTAGCAGAACACGACCAAAGTGCCCACCAAAAGCCTCGCTCCGAACTCTTGAACCATGCGGTAAGAATTCGGGCACAAGCTCCAGCTCCACAGCCCTGTGCTATTCCATTTGCACCCCACCAAAAAGCAAACCATCGATAACCATCAGATAAACCCAAACCAACGTTCGTCAAGCCCGCGAGAGAAAGACCCGAACCCAAAATTCTCCTGGGAGAGAAATTATCCACAACCAAGCCACCCAGAAGCTTAGAGATACCATAAAAGAGAGGGAAGGAGGAGGTCACAAGTCCTACGTGCTCCAGCTCAAGCATTCCTGCCTGTAGCAAAAGTGGAGCAACAAAGGTAAAAGTTGACCGACAGATAGTATAGGCCAAGTATGAGACAAAAATGCCGTGAAACACTCTCCACCTCCAAAGCCACGTCAATTTCTCCGAAGCAACGCGTCCAAGTTGATCCGTTTCAGGACTAGAAGTCACATGATTTGTGGTGGAGATCTGTCCCTCTTGTGGACAATTTTTCTTCTCGTCGTTCCAGGATACTGAAGATGCTTCCGAGCCACTTTCAGCTCTTGAAAAATGAGAACAAACAAATTTTTGAGGTTTCGGGCGGCGGAGCTCACGAAATCGAAGGGGAGGTTGATTACGCAACTGGCCGGAGAAGAACAACACGTCAGCCGCCAAGAAATGTCCACGAAAAACTAAGCCGTTGAAACGACTACCAACACAGTTTCCCTTACTTCTATAGGTCGGCCCATAACTTTGCGTGAACGACAATAGCGACATCGAGAAATGACCCAAAAGCAACTTCCAAACAAACAACCTACCCTTCCCAAGAGTTGGTCAATTGGGCATCACCAAAGCTTAATGTCTTATATAGTATATTTGGTTCTCAAATGACGATTTTATCACACGTTTATGTGTCTGAAATTTTTGCAAACTAAGCTAAAGATAATAAAAGAATCAATCAAAACGTACAGTCCAAATAATAAGAGCTATGGCGACTTCGTAGATGGTAGAGAAACCATCCATTAGTCGCTATTCAAGACAACTTGCCATTCTAGTATGGTTTTTTATGGAAAACATAGAAAACCTTCTTAAAGACAGATGCCAGAGATCCGAATATATGATATTGTTCAAATGCTAGAAGTACGTAGGACTATTGCTACCAAGGTACATATATCGAGCTCCATGAATTACACCTGTACACTTTTTTACTTTTCAACTAGCAAGGTATCATCCATATAGCAGTCCAACAGGTCAATCAAAGCCAAGTCGACTTGGGTTTTAAAAGGTAGGGTATGGGCAGTTCTCTCGCAACATTAGAAAGGAGTTCCAGGAACGACTCTATGGTAATCGATAATGTGTAGAAGATTCAAGTAATAAAAACAAAAGGTTTTCTATAAGAGCTAGCTGTCAACAAATATTTATCACAACATTGGATAGTGAGAGAGGTTATCGTTGAAACTCAACTCTTCTTGTGAACGCAACACTTCAGCCAAAATATATTTTGATAAACTCCGAATGCAAGTACTCGGTTGAAAGAAGCAAAGCAAAAATTGCAATCTGTCGTCCTGAAATTGAGTTCAAAAATTTTTTTATGTCGAGACTTTCAACATCTTCGAGACACTTCCTTTCGTTAAGTGAAAATAAAGTTGCGATTAATTGATATTTTGAACCCAGAATAACAGTAAGGAGTTTATCCGAGTTCAAATCAAGAAGCAGGCCAAAAAATATGACAACGACGCTTTACATTGAAAATTCCAAAATCAATTACTGAAAGACATGAGTTGGAGAGCAAGGCTATCACATGTGTTTGAAGAACTTCGTATCGTTTATTCTACCAAGCACCCCGAAAGTTCTGGAGTTCGGTAAGTATTCATGTTGTCATGACTATGTTATCTCTCTTTATTTCCCTCGGAGGAACTTCATTGCTGCAAACTATGACGAACTGAAATTGTTGAACCCTGGACTCCCCTTTTATGTCAGGTGCTGTGACGGTATCAAGCCGCATGTATCCACTCGTATGAGTGCGTTGGACCAACTACTCATAGAATTCCGTTCGATTAAAATATTGTTTAGGCAACGGATTTTACGAAACCTCTTTAGTTGCTGGCCTCGACGTCCAAGGTATGTGTTCAAACCTTTTCTTTTACAGATACAGGTTGTTTTTTATTACTATTTTTTGCAGGCATAGAGAGGACTCTACAGAGACTGGTTCAAAAGGGCGAGGAACAAACAAAAAGACCGTTACTAGGTAGCAAGGCCTGTCAAACCGTTCAGTTCGCAAATATCATATGAAGCGAGTGTTGCGTTTGGACCGATATTAGTATAAGCATAAAATACGGTAAAAACTACTCTTCGATAGTCTTACTTGAAATAAAACTCTCATGAGAAGTGCTCATATCTTTCTTGGAACGAAAAATATTGCCAGCGCATATTCCTACAAGGATAATAAGACCATAGTTACGATTGGAACGAAAGCTTTTGGCACATTCTTCAGGGTTATCGTAGTTTGTTCTACAAATCTGACGCAATAAGTGAAGACTTCCTATTATGACACTAACATAATAGGGAGAGGTCTGTTCTACCAAGTAACCCACGAGCAACATTAAGGTGCTATGTATGCCTGCGAAGAAATAAAGCCAACTGTCGGTTTTGTCGCCAAAATAAAGCGCAGTGGAACGAATACCAACACGCGTGTCATCGTGTTTGTCTTGGTGGGCATAAATGGTATCGTATATTAGGGTCCAGGCAACTCCTCCTCCATAGAGGTACAAAGCAGGAAGATCTAAACTTCCCTTTACAGCAACCCAACCAAGCAAAGCACCCCAGTTAAAAGTAAGCCCCAAAACGAGTTGTGGCCAAAAAGTAACCCGTTTGGCTAAGGGATACAGTGTAACCAAAAAAAGGGAACTTGCTCCCAAAACCTGACTATACATATTCAACGATAGCAATATTGGCAAACCTCCTAGTAACTGCGCAGTCACAAAAAACAGGGCTTGCTTCTTTGTGAGAACGCCAGAAGCCAAAGGTCTAGATTTCGATCTTTCTACCAAACCATCCAGACGACTGTCCCAGAGATCATTTATAGTGCAACCTGCGCCTCTCAATAAAACAGCACCCATTCCAAATAAACTTAAAAGCCACAAGTCGGAAACTTGTCCTGGCTCCGACGCTAGGGAAATTGACCAGGCACCGGGTAAATATAACAACCACGTGCCAATAGGTTTGTCCAATCGAGCTAACTTAACATAAGGGTTTTCTCGTAGACTCGACATTGAGAAATTTTGGACGACTGACGTCCACTGTTTCCAACCAGCGCTGTTATGGGCAGAACGATGCCTCAAGATAGGCAAGAAAACGTTGGCTGGACTATTTTTTAAGTTTTCATATGCTTTCAAGGAATTTTCAGCTTGTAACAGAGGCCGTGCGTTCAGTCTTCCACGTTGTTTCAGTATCGTCCAAAGTGTCCGTTGAAGAGCTTGCATTGTCTGCTCTAGCGCTTCAGAAGATTATGGCTGGACAAAACCAAGAGAATGATTTTCAAAGTCTGGCAAAGAAGGTTTTGGACTACGCTTGTGGAAGGAACTACTTTAGAGAACATGACCTTGAATATTTAAAAAAATTTTACCATAGTGAAGCAAAAGTTGTAGACCAAAACTTTTTAAGAAGTTTGGTTGGTGCCTTGCTGAAACTTGAAAAATTCAAAGTTGCCAAGAAGAGATATGAAACAGCGCGCCTAATTTCACAGAAAGTAAGCCATAACTTTAAACACTTCACGTTGTTGTAAACGTTTCCCAAAGATAACTGTGGAACAACGCGAGTTGCTTGACTTATTTATTGTGCATGAACGAGACGTGGAAGAATATGGAGCATATTTGAAGACCTTGGTATTATACGGAGAGTCCGGGACGGAAGATGCCACGTTGCACAGTTCAAAGAACGCCGATAAAGTCAGAATGCAAGAACTTCGCGATCCACGCATGTCCTTGTTGAAAATTGCACGTTATTGCAGTGAGCGATATTTAGACTCTTCTTCAGGAGAGTCGTGGGTGACCAATTGCTTTTTCAAAGTTTTAGAAATAGAAAGAGTTTGGGTGGATGCTTTTTTGTTGCACGTTGAGTATTTTTCACGCTGGGTTTCGGAATGTGGGGTTTCTGTTATAGTTTCACGAGCCTGCGAAGATGGAACCCCTACAGCGGAACAGTTTTATGGCGATGGAAAGACTTTGAGTGTCTTTATATTACTACTTACGAAATTTGTTAATCTCTTAGGTACTTCTTCGCAAAAAACATTTATCCTATCAGTAGTTGAACGCAGCCTTCGAAGACAGTTGAGTCACTTTTCAACAGGGAAGTACACAGTGGATGAAAAGACTATGTTCTTGTCAACCATATGGATTAATTTCGCTACTCGGACCTTCTCACATTTGATAGAGGCCTTGGAAGTTCTTGGCAAAACAGGAACTGCATATACTTTGCTTTTTCACTATTTTGATAATTTGTCTAATGTTGATAGTCCGTTTATTATTCATCAAGATATGATTTCCTTCGAAATAGAATGGCTTCATGTCATGAACATATTTGCTTATAGAAAGAGTTCACTTGTGGAAGTTTCACAAGCACTGTCACCATTGGGTGAGCAAAGAAGATTTTCCATTATTGTGAACAACGTGGTTCGTCAATACAAGGAACTACTTGCAGTTTTCTGTCAGGATGTACATTATTCGTCTGAAATTGTCAAAGAGCTGATAAGTGAATTTACTTCATTCATTGGAATATGTTACATGACAAATGAAGGCTGTTTATTCCAAGTTACAAGAAGTCAAGGAGTAGAGTCTCCATTGGCTGAAATGTATCAGTCAACGTTGCAGGCATGGAAAGATTCAGCGGCCAACTCTCAATTTTTTACTAACTTATTGAACATCTTGGACTGTTTCATGGTAAATATGGCCAGATTTTTACGCCAAGTGTTTCAGTCATCCATCTGGAGTGTTGGAGACGCTTACTTAACAGCCACCGCTGCAATGATTTCTGCGTTTCTCGCTGCACTAAATCAAATGTCATATTTAGATGACGAAAATGTCAAATGGATAGTTTTGCGACATAAACGTACAGTTTTGGAATTTCACAAGCTCATGAGTGGGAGGGAGATTCTTATCCTGTTTTCTAAGAAGAAACTAGCTGAAGAGATATTCTATGGAAGCTTTACTTGTGAACTTACTGAACAAACTGAATTTCTTGAAAGCTTTCGTTCTTTTTTGTGTGAATATGTAGCGAACGAATCAGACGAATATTCTCATACTATACTTTCATCAATGTTGCAAATCATAATGTCGGCGAAAATTATCATAGAAGATGACAGTGTCAATTTTGAACGCTCGTCGAATTGTTTTGTAGCAAGTGTTGATTTCTTGGATGAAATTTTAGACTCTTATATTTCTTCTCTAACTGTTTGTCCCAGTTCTGTCCATCTCAAGTTAGTAGAAAATGAAGGTATATATTTGCTTAGCAATGGCATTTTACGTTTAGAGGAGGAGAAAGCTGCCTTGGCAAATGAGGATCATTGCAAAAAGTGTTCTTCTCTTAATAGAAAACTTCAAGTAATTTTGAAAATCTTTTTTTCTAACGAGACTGCTCCTTTGATAAGTTTATATTCCGATCGAGTTTGGCGTATTTTTATAATGTTTCTGGAGAATGAGGATACAAGTGATCTTGGAAAAGATCTTTTGCGGAGAATTTTTCTAGGAGCAGATGAGCAAGAAAATTTACTTGATCTTCCCAAAGATTTTACTCTCTCTGAAACAAGAAAACATTGTCGTTTGCTTTTTCAAGGCCTATTGGATAGGTTGGAGTTCCATTGTTTTCAAGATTCCGTTGGCGCAGAAAGAAAGGCACTCCTTCTTCGGAAATACTTATCATTGTTTTCCTCGCTTGTTGCTGAGTCTATGCGAATTATGCAAAGAATGTTTCGGAACTCAAGGGGCTTTGAAATTTTTAAAGCTATTTTTTCTGACTCGGACTCGGACTTCGTTCGTAGTATTGCAATCGATTTGCTTAAACTGTTAGCACAGGTGACCCGAAATAATCCGAAGGCAGAGTTTGAACTTAAAAGCTTGTTTCCGTGCAAGTGAGTCATTTCTCATTTTCAAACAATGTAGCTGATTTTCCTTAGTTTTCTGGTACACACGCTCAATTCTTGTTATCCTGAAGGGGTTTCTAGCGAAGTTATCGCGGCTTTGTTGGAGGTTGTCGTGGGAAGTCCCATTCTGATCCGACATAACAGTGACAATTTTCAGTGTATGACATCGTTCGTTATAGAGAACGTCATCTTATCACAAGACCGACTTGCTTTCCGTAGTAGACTTGTTTCAAGTAGTTCTGAAATTCTATGTGCCTTATTCAAACTTGCTGAATCGACATCAGAAGATGTTCAAGTGGCCCTTTGCAACTTTATATATACAATAACATATGAAGACAGTCTAAATGCCTCGGTTGTGGATGCTTCGGGAGTGACTGAAATTATTATCGAGCGTTTGTTTTACTCATCCGTCGATTCTACGTTTTGGTCATCTTTGCATCTAAGAAATGCTTATTTATCTTGTTTATGCGCGATAATTCGCCATTTGGTGACCCCATCAATGCTAAGTAGACTGCTTTCAGTTTCATATTTAGGGAGCTCCTCCCAATTTGGCTTACATGATAAGCGTACATTATTGTACTCTGAAGTTGCTATCTTCCATGCCTTGTCAGAGTCATTTGAAATATGCAAAAAATGGCCTCGCTTTTTTTTGGACTTTTCAGGGAATCACTCAGGTCTTGCTTCAATAATTCCTGGTGCTGATCTTACTCGTCGTAAGGATAGTCTCTGGCTTACTTTCTGGTTTCGAAGAGAGACTATATCCCGAGAATCGTCATTAGTTGAATTGTATACTTCTAAGGATTCCGCCTTTGAAGTTTTTTTAAATGAGTTGGGTGTTCTTTGCTTGAGACTGCATGAATCCGAGACAGTATTTGAGATGTTTCACAATACTGACACAGAAATTCCTCCGTATGTTTGGGTTTTCGTTTGTCTTCGTTTCCAACGAATTTCTTCCGGCAAACAGACTCTGATTGATGTCTATTTAAATGGAAAACTCTCATCTTCAAGTAATGTATCAAAGAATATTGATAGAGTTACTGCAATTGGATTCGGTTGTTCCTTTAGTTGGACCGATTTATCGATTTTACCGAGAGCAAGTTCATGTCTTAAGGGACAGTTTGGCGCAATTTACTGCTTCCAAGGTAACCTGAGTGAACGTACCATTTGCACTATTTATGAGTTCGGACCATCGTTTGATAGTGACCTTTGCGATTTGAGTTTTTCAGAATCAACAAGAGATTTGGATAATTTGTTGAATTTGTCAGTTCTGTTTCTCTATGCACCTCGTTGTTGCGGTGATTCTCGTACGTGTCCTGATGGTTCTTTAGCAGCAGTTGGATCAAGAAAATCAATAGCAGCTAGATTAATTGGCTCATCAGGAGAGTCGAGAGTTTGTTCGGTAAATAACATTATCGATAGTTTGCACTGTGTTGGAGGCCTAAGAAGTGTTTTGGAGTTATTTTTTGCTCTTGACAACTTCAGCTCATCGACCTTGGGAACAGATGAGACGGAAGCAGATAGTGTGTCCGCAGACGTATTGGAAAGCTTAAATGAACTCACTTGTTATTTTTTAAAGATTATCGCTGAGATATTGCGTTACGACAAGCAAGCTGAGATCGAATGGATGAATACGCATGTCTTTGACTACTTGGGTGCCTGGTTTTTTGAAACAAAGCTTTCCTTCTCATCTAAAGAAGTGATAGATGCAATCTTTCAGCTGTTTGAAACCTGTTCTGATAGAAAATCTGTGGTTTCAGTATGTACAAAACGATGTCTTTCCAACGAGTTTTTATGGAGCAAGATGACTCAAGACGTTGCTGTTCACTTCTGGAAAGCATTGTGTTCTTTAAAGGATAATTCTACGTTGAGTCCTAATGTTTTATTGGATGTTATTGGAAACTTTGATGTGGATAGTGCTGTTTTCGTTTCCCGAGAGTCAAGAGACATCAGTTTATGCAAGGGTATTATCGACTTTATATTGCTTGGTTTTAAGATGCTCTTTACAAATTCGGACTTTGTTACAAGTGGCAATCAATTTCTGGTTATCGATGGAGCTACACAAAGAGATGGCGTTTCATACTTAGAACAGATAGAGCATGCATATTCGAGAGCTTTAGTTGAGAATCTCTTGAAACCTGTTTGCTTTCACGCGTTAGATGAAATGAACCAAGATGCATTTGCTAAGCTAAATTATTTACTTCAAGCACTTTCTAGCCTGAGTAATTTTCTTTCAGTTTCAGTTAGAGCCAGTTGCTTTTCGTTCCTAATTCATCAAGATTTGATCGAGGTTTTGCTTAAAGTGCTTAAGTCGACGTCGCAGCTTCGTCTTGTACTCTTCAGTATAGCGGCATTGTTTGACTTGTTCGAGTCAAATTCAGATGAATGTGTGCAATGGGTAACTTCGCAGTTTCGCCTTTCAGAGTTGTCTGCATCGATGGAAAAGGAAGAATGGAAGAACCATGTCATTGGAGGCTTATGTATGTTTATCACAGGAACTTTACAAGGAGCAGACGCAGACCTCACTATGTTACTAGAGCATCTTATGTCGTCGGATTTCTTAGGTGGCCCATGTAGTACGCAAGGCACGATCGAAAAAATCCGAACTGGAGCTTTGCCCTTAATTATTATGCTTTTAACAAAGGAAAACAATTTGATTGGTAAAGCTTCTATGATTCAAGCGCTTGTTGCACTTCTGGAAGAAAGCAGGCAGCTGACGGAGACATTCCTATGTTTCAATTTGTGGTCTTTTTGGATAATTAGCCTGTCTCGAGTGAATACATTTTCAACGTGTGATGAAGATGAGCTTTTCAGTTCATATGTTTCTTCCTTCAAGAAACTTGTTGTCCATCTATTCAAACATTTTATAGAAGACTGGGGTATGAGTGTGACCACTTTTTATCAAGTAGAGGAGCTGGTTTTTGCTGCTTGGAATCTTATAGACGCTACATTTGCGATGCAAGTTCTCACATGGTTTTTGCAATGTGTGAAGGATATTGCAGTTCCACTGTTGCTATCTCAGGGAATATTTGGTATGAACATAGGTGCAAAATGCTCTCAAACACTTGAAAGTACGAATATTGAAGGTTTTGCTATGGTGTTTTTGTTTACAAAGCTCATTTGTGATATGGGCAATATGCAGAATGCAGAAGCAAAACAGAAAGATACTCGGCTAAAGTTAGAAATGTGCGAACTTTGCATAGAAATTATACTCCTACTGGGCTTGCTTAGTACATCCTCTGCGTCCTATTCTGGAGAATCCAAAGTGGTCGGTAATGATTTTGAGTTTCTCGGTATTCACGTCTTTCCCAGATCTGCAGTATTGGATTTATTTGGAAAATATGAAAATGAACGGAGGTACCCTGCAAGCAGACCTGGTCAAAACTCTTTCAAACTTGACGAACAAACTTTTATAGAACCCCTTTGTAAGGGGGGCTTCGTAAGAATTTCATTATTATTTATCATAGATGCTTTGGTTGAGAAACTGAAACTACAAGAGGAATTTTCTTATTATGAGACTCTGCTTTCAAGCATAGGTGAAGTTCATGGAGGCTTAAGAGTAGATAAGATATGGCGTCACTATGTGGAACAGCATTTCACGAATTTGATTTCGGAATCTACTCCAAATCCGTCGGAGATCTCACAGAAAAATGAACTGGAATTACTTTTGGGAAACCTTGTAAAAAGATGGAAGCAATCGAAACATTCCGTAGAGCACAAGTCAACTGGTTTCTTTAGGCCATTCAAAAATAAGAGTCTCGGTCGCAATATGCAGGTTCTTACGTCACCAACAGCAGGAAGTGAAATGATAGCTTCGCTGATGAAGAGTGAGCAAGAATGGAACGAAACTGGATATGCTTGTATGTTTTCTGCTGTTATGGAGTGGAAAAAACGAGTGGACCAATCGTTCGATATCCTTGAAAATATTTCTACGGTGCTTTCATCCAACACCCATATTCAAAAGGATGTACTACGAGAAGTGAACGTTTCGGAGGGAGTCAGAAATGATGCGAAGAGTAGGTTGAAGGCTAGCGAGTTTAGAAAACTTGTTTTTGGTTTTCGAAAACACCTGAGTTACCAAGAGCTTATGAAGGATTCTACCAAGACTCAATGGAGTTTAGCTGGGATAATGGATAGCCTTCAACGAAGATGGCTGCTCAAACCAACAGAAAACATCGATACACAGTGGAAAAGATTGAGCCAATCGGCTCAACAAATGAGCTCACTATCGAATTATAGCGAAGAGGGCGTAACGTCACCTTCCCGTGATAGTGTTACAGATGCTAATCAGAAGCGGAATAGTGATGTTACGACCATCACAGGTCCGCATCTTTCTCTCCCAGTTGATAACCTCTCCATTCAGCAGTTTGATGAAAGTTATCAGAAAAACTGGTCAATAGAGTCACCTGAGCCGTCTTCAGCGTCTCCCAGCAGCTCGACTCCATTGTTGAGTAGTATGGAGCTGTTGGCTGCGAGAACGGCAGCTTCAGCTTCTGATGTTCAATGGTCAGGGAGTTGCATCTGGGTACGTTTTTTAAAAGCAGTTCCTGGAAGGTTAGAGTTGCGAGAAAGAAGCATCCGATTTCTTCAAAGTCCATTTAACGAGGAATCCGAAAGGGTATTATCACCTGGATATTTCGTGAAGACATCATCTACTGAGGAAGATATCGAGAACATTCAAGAGCTAACCTTTCCTCTCGAAGAAATTCAACATTTGGAGTTTCGTCGATTCCTTCTTCAGCACAAGGCTTTCGAAATCTTTCTACAAAACAAGAAGTCCTACTTTTTCGCCCTTCAAACTTCGCGAGCGTGCAAAACTTGTCTGAAACTTTTATCGAAACTTTTGGAGTTGCCCCATAATAGGCTGTTACCATCGCACAATACGAGTGGACCCCGTTCGGTGTATGCAGGAGGTGCGTTCAAGTTTCCTCGCTGTTTATTGGATTGGAAAACAGTTCAGGCCTTGACAGCAGACGCTTGTGCGCGCTGGAAACGACGACAGCTAAGCAATTTTGAATATTTGTGCATCTTGAATCGTCTTGCTGGACGTTCGAATAATGATCTTTGTCAGTACCCGATATTTCCTTGGATTTTGGCCGATTATTCTACTGAAAAGCTTGACTTGACTGATCCGAAAACATTCCGAGACCTCGCCAAGCCTGTTGGTTGTCAACCATCTACAAGCTCTGAAGAAGCTGGGGAGCGCGAAAGGCGTTTTCGAGAGCGTTTTGAAACTTGGGCGGATAAAGCTATTCCACCGTTTCATTACGGTTCTCATTATTCTTCAGCTGCGGCTGCTTTGCACTACCTAGTTCGTGTGGAGCCATTCACGACATTGTCTCTTGAGTTACAAGGAGGGCTGTTCGATCATCCTGATCGTATGTTTTACTCTCTTGAGGGAGCCTGGAATTCGGTGACGCAGTCAATGCAGGATGTGAAAGAACTCATTCCAGAGTTTTTCTACTTTCCTGAAATTTTCCGGAATCGAAACGGCGTATCATTTGGCAGAACGCAAGATGGTCATTTGATAGATGATGTTTTATTGCCGAAGTGGGCAAATGGTTCACCTGAACACTTTGTGCGTGTGCATAGAGAGGCGTTGGAAAGTGAATACGTCTCGCTCAATTTACACCATTGGATTGATTTGATTTTTGGTTTTCGTCAACGAGGTCCAGCAGCTGTTGAGGCATGCAATGTTTTCTTCTATCTTACATATGAAGGGGCAATAGACCTCGAGTCAATTCAGGACATGGAACTAAGAGAATCGATGGAAACCCAAATTGCACACTTTGGTCAAACACCACCACAGCTAATGGAAGATTCGGGTCATCCACAACGTGATCACAGTGGAGCGCTACTGCAGCCTTCTTACTGGACTCCTCAGGGTCTGATGGCAGCATTGGAATTTTCAGTTGCCATTGGAACGGATGACTCCATTGTTCAGATATGTCAAGCCGGTGATCGAATTGTGAGCATCACAAAGAATCAGTTCGTTTTTCGTCACAAATGGATACCTTTACCTGACTTGCAAGGTTCACCATTTACTTTTGAAACAGATACAAAGAACATTTCAGAGAGTGCCGCGTTTTCTTCTCAAGAAGGAAACATCGAAACTAGAAGATCTTCAAATAGAGAAATTGTTGGTGGCACGTATTTAGCTTCGTCTACACAGGCATCTCTGTTTTCTTTGTATGCCCTTAGTTTTGATGGTAAAGTGATCATTAGTGCCGGCCATTGGGACTGGTCTATTCGTTGTTGTTTTACATCAGAAGCCCATAAACCAATCCAATGTCTGAAAGGGCATAGAGACATTGTGACTTGCTTGTCTATTGGTTCAGACGGTAGAACATTGGTAACAGGATCAAAGGATACGACAATTTTCGTTTGGGAAATAGTTTGGGGAGATCCTGAAAGAGTAAGGGATCCTAAGGAAGGGAAGCTGGACAGAAGTTATTCTGGTGGCGAAACTAAGCTTGGTGCAATATTGAAAGTACAAGGAAATGTAACAAAGAGGAGAAAAATGAAAGTGGTCGAAGAAAGGCCAAAGTTGGTTCTTTATGAACATGAATACCCACTCGTATGTGTTGCAGTTAATACTGAAGTTGGAGTCATTGCCAGTAATGATTCTTGTAACACCTTGATGATTCACAACTTATCAAACGGCCATTTATTGAGAATTCTTGACTTTCTTAAAGAAAGTTTGGTCGACAGCGTCACTGTCACTTGCCGAAATGAAATAATTTTGGTATCAAGTAAGAAAGCAAGCTTTTTTTTATATACTGGCAATGGAGTTGCTTTAAAGAAACAGTCCATTTGTTCGCATCATGATAGTTGTCAAATATTATCGTCGCCTACTATTACTAGCTACACTATAACAGTTGATGGAAGGCTTTTGTTCGTTGCAGATGAACTCAATGGAGTAGCAGTGTACTCAAGTTGGGGTCTTAATCTTTTACACCGTTATGTACCTTGCCCATCTTCACCAGTGAACGCTTTATGTCTAACTGCAGAAGAAAGTATCCTTCTCGCTGGTTTATCAGACGGAAGAATTTTAGCATACACTGTTGACAGGTTTGCACTTTTACAATCAAGTACTCTTTTGGGTGTCGAAGGTGCTTCTAATCCTTTTTATGGTTGCTAACACATCCAATTTGTAGTAAATGTGGTTTCTTATTTAAAATCTGACCAAGAAGGTAATGGAGAGGTAAATGTCCAATCACTGCTTTTATATTCCTTTGCATGAAGCCATATCAAACAAGAACGTTCTTTCGTGTCGTGTACGGTAACGCGGGGACATATTGGGCAGTTTAGTTCTTGTCCTCTTCGAATGATATCTTCAGATAGTATGTCAACGGATGGCGAATACATTTCATTTTCCATATCATTCATATCATACTCAAAACCATACAATGGATCGTTCACTATTGGATGACCTAAGTGCTGAAGATGTAGTCTAATTTGATGAGTTCTTCCTGTATGTGGTTTACACTCGACCAATGATTGCTCAAGTTGACTGTTGTAGAACATAAGTCTGAATGTCTACAGGTGTTAGGAACAAAAATTTCGTCATTGAATGTCAAACGTACCGTCATTGCTTCCTTTCCTGAATCGGCGCAAGATCCAACACAGTCATGTGCATCAAAATGAAGTTTCTGATCACAGACGACTGTTTCCGAAGGAAATTGGCCATGAACCCTTGCAACGTAGGTTTTGTGCACTTGCCGCTCGTGAAACTTTTCAGAAAGAAATTTTGCATATGTCTTATTCCTGGCAAAAATAACCAAACCAGATGTTTGACGGTCCAAGCTGTTTTAAACTAAGCATGAGCATTCTTTCGGACTTCTATTTAGAGAACCTACCGGTGTATCACATGTAGATTTTTCAGATCTTGTTCTACACAAAGTCTAGCCAGCAACGAGTTTTTCCTATAGTTTCCACAGGGATGAACTGGTAAATTTGCAGGTTTATTTACAACAACTTTATCAGCATCCATATAGATAATCTCTGCTGCTTCTGCTGTTGTTGCTGCTTCGTGACGATGAACTACGTGAGTTACAACATGACCGTTTTGTAATATAAAGTTGGGTGAAATTTTATGTCCATTTACGAGCAAACGACCTTCTGCCAATTCTCTCTCCCAATATTGCTGACTTCCGTGCGGAAATTCCCAAGAGAAAACTTCCAGGATGCTTCGACCAAACCATCTTTGCTTGGTGTTCACCCTAAACTCAAAAGGATATGGAATGACATATCTGCAGTTATTTTTTACAAAGAAGTGGTCCTCAGAAATACTTTCCAAATCGTTCAAACCATTCTTATGAAAACGTTGCTTTTTTTGATAATTGTCGACTACTTTTGTAAAACCGTCCATAACACGTTTCATTTGACGTGACAAAGAAATAATTATGGCACAGCATCGACAGTGGTCTGCAAATGATTTTAAGCCTTACAAAGACGTGAAAGCGCTTCCTGAATATATAGGAAAGCGTCTAAAGTCTTTGAATATTTCTAAACTGTTTCGTTTTCAATGGACAGTAATCAAGTATTTGCTCTCTCTTGATAGGTATATTTATAACTAGTGAGTTGAAGAGCTTTGTTTCAATTCTTTGTTTAGGAGCAACTTTCCTGGTGATGTTATCGTACAGGCACCAACAGGAACAGGAAAGACTTTGTGTTACGCTATTTCTATTTTGACTGGCAAGTATTCTAACTAAAGGCCCTTCTAGGAGAGGTTTGACTTGTTCTTTAGCTTTGAAGTCGCGTAGTTCACGTCCACGTTTACGTGGCTTGGTGATTGTGCCTACCAGGTATTTGATATTTGCTTACTTTGGTTTTTATGATAAGTTTTTAATAAGAGAACTTGTTAATCAACTGTATTCTGTGTTTCTCGCTTTGATTGGAGACGACGATTTGAAGGTTTTAGGACTTAGTGGCGACACTTCGCTTTCATCAGAGAGAACAAAAGCTATCGAAAGCATCCAACTTTTGGAGGATGAATGCTACTCTCCTGTCTGGAAGGTTGATATTCTCATATCTACTCCTAGTCGTTTAGTTGAACATATACACCAAAGAGTTGGTTTCGAACCAACAACCATAGAGTTTCTGGTGTTGGACGAAACGGGTCAGTGACAAGTTGCTTTTGAATTACCGATTGATTTTTCAATAGATCGTTTATTGAGTGGTCAAAGTCTGGACTGGATTGAAACCATTCTAAGACATATTTCGCGCTCCAGTGACGTTACTAGTTCGGAAAATAGGAACCTTTATTTGACAGGAGAACTTGGCCTTAGGAAGCCAATTCGCAAACTTCTCTTTTCTGCAACTCAGACAAGTAGTATTGCCAAATTAGCTAATCTGTCTCTAGTGAATCCAACTCTCTTTACTTATAAACAGGATGACGCTGTAAGATCCATTCTTCTAGGAAATTCGTCAAGTGAGAAACGTTCAAAACAGAAGTACTGGTTACCATTTGCACTTGAAGAGTTTGTCTTGTTATGCAAGTCTCCAGTAGAGAAGCTTGTTTCACTGGTTTGGTATCTGAAACATCTTGATTCTTCGTTGTCTGAAGCAGGTACAGTATCAATAGAACCAGTCCATTGTGAGATTCTAATTTGGCTAAGGAGTCATCGTCTTTGCTAGTTCAAAGATTTCAGCTCATAGGCTATTTCGTTTTTTATCTTTGTATTTTTCTGCAGGTTATATTGAGTCGAATACTGCTATTCACATTGCAGAACTATCTAGTAACCTATCAAACCGTCAGAGACGTAATGTTGTCAGAGATTTCTCTTTACACAAACTTCAAGTTGTTGTTAGCAGTGATGTTGCCACAAGGGGTATGGACATAGAAAACATTGGCCATGTCATAAGCTTTGATGTTCCTGTTCACGTCAAAACATATCTTCATCGAGTCGGTAGAACTGCTAGAGCAGGCCATAAGGGAACTGGTTGTACTATACTGATGGAACATCAAGCTCATCATTTTAGGAAGTTATTAAGGAAAATTGATAGAGCTGTGTCCAAAAGCAAATTCATATGGAAAGAAATGGACAATAACAATACGGAATGGTCCACTATAAAAGAAAGGTAAACCCATTTGAGATATTTTACTTTTTGTATTCATAGATTGTTTTACAGCGTTATGGAAATAGTGACTTGTATGCAATGTTGTATTCGAGCAGAGTCACGTAAACTAATTTCAATTCGGAAACCTTTAACCGGAACTTTGATGAACTTTCTAATAGAGTTAGGAAGGAAGTATTATCGATTGTCGAATGGACAAAGTGATGAAGAAAGTAATCCAAAAGAGCTTATGTTGGATGAGCTGCAGCGTTTTTTGGGGTTGCATGGCAATGATTTCTAGAAAACTCTTTGAAGCCTTGTAGAGGTTTGATAGGAAGCTGGTGTGAGCGTGAAAAAGACTTTATTACATGAAAATACAGTTTTTGAAACAGTTATTCTCACGTGTTTGGTATGAAACACGCGCTCTGTCCTGGAGCGACGTACCACGCTTTTTTATTTGGCTAGGAAAGATCCTCGTTTCTAGAAATTCTCTGGTAGCTATAAGAATAACTGTAGTTAGTTTAGCTATTAATATTTGTGTTTTCTTTGCGGTTATGAGAGACAGAACAGTTTGCTATATTGCAATAATGGAGTATTTGATTCACACTATTGCTGCAAGTCACTCTCATGTAGGTTCCGTGTTCAGAGGTGGCCTTGTTATGGCCGTTGCAGGATTAATTGGAAGTGTACTGGCTATAGTTTCCCTTGCTATGGCAGATGGTTCTGGCGTTGCTCTTTATTTTATCATGTTAGTTTGTTGCTTTCTCATAGCTATCATCCGTCTCAATCCTCACCTTACACCCTTGGGTATTCTTGCAAACTTTATGTACGGTGCCACTCTGATTTTTTGTGTAAAAACTTCCCCTTCAAGAGCTTGGTTCGTGGTATACCCAACCCTTCTAAGTGCAGTGTGGTCTGGTGTAGCAGCTGCTTTGGCGGGTTTGCTCATCTTTCCAAAATTGGCAAGAACACAACTCAGGTCGAATGTTGTGCAAAATCTAAATAGAAGTGCTGATACACTTGAGCGTATTTCGTCCTTTGTTTTAAGTGAAGATTCGGACAAGGAAAATGTTACCTTTACTGCAGTGGAAGATTGCTATGCAATTCACGCATCGCTTCTTTACACTCGCACCTTTGTACCACTTATACCTTTTGAACCTGATATTCTGCATCCGTTTAGAGAAGAACCTTCGAAGCTTTGGGAAACATTAATCAAAGATGTTGATCAACTTGTACTTTATATTGAAGCAGTCTCTGGAATTCTGAGGAGAGAACGACTTATTAGCAAAGGTTCATTACACATGTTAACTAATGGGTCATTGGATACGCTCAAAGATTATTTTAATCATTTATGTAAGTTAGTAACAAGTCTTGCTGAATGTTTAAAAGTGGGTAAAGACCCAAGTCAACTGGAGAGGCTTCCAATTGATCTGCGAAGTGACATGAACAACGAAGTAGCAAACATTTTTAAGCAGTTTTGGATCAATAGTCATTCAAGAAGTACAAGACAGCTACCATCTTCTTTGGAATCAGTTTCTCTTATATTCTTTTCATTCAGTTTGAGAACCTTCGATGATGCAATAGCCAAGATATCCGAAGATATACAAGAATTATATCGAAAACGCCAAGAACGCAGTAATATCTGGAAGAATTTGTTTTCTTGGCTAGAAATAGTTTGGGAGCCTATTGAAGTGTTCAAACGGTCACCTCAGTTATTGCGGGATGTTGATAATCTCAAATTTCTGTTTCGACAAGTTCTAAGTGTTGCAATCATTATTGTTCCTTCTATTCTGGTTGCAGGTGTCTCAAAAGCGGATTACAATTTCACCCAAGATTACAATGCAGTCTCAGCATATATTATGGTTATTATTATCTATATGCGTGGTGTTGAACTGACTTGGTACAGATTATTACTGTATTGTCTCACAACAGTAATTTCAAGTGCTCTGGCATATGCTGCCACAGTTTTTGCTGGAGAAGATCCCTATATTCTTACTTTATGGATGGGATTGTGGATTTATGCAGCTCTAGTTCCAACTCTTTACTTCCCGTCATATATAATAGCAGACCTCGGTTTTGTTTTTGCACAGTTCTTTACTATTTCATGTCAGTATGGCACAAATTTTACATTTGTTTACCCAGCTTCAAGAGTTGTGAGTGTATTTGCAGGTTGCTTTGTAGTGGGACTAGTGTCTGCTACATTTTGGCCCTTCAAGGCTTCAAAGGATTGTCAGAAGACCCTAATTGACATCATGGAGAAGGAAAAACAGCTATTCAATGACTTTGTTGATCACTTTTTTCTGTGCAATCAACAAGTATCGACTGAGGGATGGACATTGACAGATGAAATTGCAGAAAAGTTGAGCTTTATTGAAGGACAGTTGACAAAATTGAGAACTGTGACCAACTTGGATCCTTCCATTGGCTTGACTCATCCTTCAATACCGAAAATGTTATCTGCTGTATCGTCAATTTTTAGGAGACTTGTATGCATGAAGGTTGTTTTAAGTGCGAAACCAGAGCTAACAGGGAGATATTTGACTACAGTTTGGAATAACTATTTATCTTCTATGAACGAACAATACCAGTTGCTCAAGAGTTCAACCACAGAGTTGTTTGATAGTATTTCTAAACGGTTTGGGATAAACTCAAGCCAACGAGGAGATACTTCGGAGATAGAAGAATCACACGAACGATTGTTCTACGCTTACGAGAATCTGTTTGGAGAGTTTAGAAAGCTTCGTATGTACTTGATTGAGGAAGTTTCCAAATTGGGAACTCGAGAGTCTTCAGGTGATGTGAATGAGTTTCCTTGGTGGGACAAGGATTTTCCGTTGCATCCTGACGATGCTGTTCGACATTTAACCTTCCTGTACAGTTTATTGCAAGTTTTGGATACTATTGACAATCTCGCTCTGGTGGGAACCTCCCTAAAACCTGGCAATGAAGATCTTCGACTTCGAAAAAGTATTTCACAAAGCATACGTAACTCTGTAGAATTGTCGGAACCATCTTTAAGTGGTCTAGACGGTACATCTGAAAGCAGAGGAGATAGGTCCTTGAATAGAGAGGAACGGGAAATATCTTTTCGGCAAGAGTCGAGTATTTTTAAGGACTCTCGAGAAGAGAGGAAACTTACTTTGGAAATGGGTTATTACAAAGTATAAAGGGAGATATTCATAGATAGAGAGGACCGAAAGACGCAGTAAATGTATTATTTGAAGTCTACGATTGGTATTGTTCTGTTGCACATCAGATGGGCTTTATTTTAAAGTGTAAGGATATGAGTGAAAACACAAAACACTTGAGGTCTTGTACCAAATAATAGAAGTTTCTCAAACCATTTGGGTCTTCACTATTTTGCACGTCTAGCAATGATCCAATTTTCGTTGTCTACGATAGCTAAAGAATACTTCAAACAATAAACCCTAAACTTACCGCAAAAGAAATATGCTCATTTCCTAAAACTATTTCTAGCTCCTGTCTACCCGTTTTATCTGGCTCTGGCCACCTTGAATCATCTTCCCTTTAAAATAAAACGGTGAAATTTGGATGTTGTGAATAATCAAGGAAGCGAAATCCTACTTCATGATATCACTTTGCTCGATAATTCTTCGGAGTTCCTTAAGAACTGCTTCCGTAACATAAACTTGAAGAAAATTTAGTTTGCACTCAACAAAGTATTATCTTTATACCTTCTTTACGTATCATAGTTTCCTTTTTATAGTGTGAATTATTCGCATATCTTAGCTTCCCGTCGGGTCTGAATTCAAACTCTAAAAACTCGTGACCAAATTTTCCTTTGTGACCAACGTAGTAGCGCAGGTAAAATTCTTCGTTCTCAGTCATTATATCCTATTAAAGTAAACCGAACTTCAGAGCTGCTCAAGACGTGAGGCACTAGTCCAAATTATGCCGATACGCCAATGAATAATCCACACAAGTCTTACTGCAATGATCACCGATTGAGAGTTTCTCTTTGAAAAGATAACTAAAATTTTTAAGACGTAGTAATGTAGCTATATGAGTAAATTAAGTTTGGAAAATGGTTTCAAATCTCCCTATCTATCTGAAAGAGTGGATTTCTTCTCTTTGTAATAATAGAAACTGCAAAGATTCCTACATCAATCTTTTAAAAAAAGATTCAACGCCTGAACGTATTAAGACTGACAAATTTGTTACTTCTTTTCGGTCTCTTCCAACATTCCTGTGTTTTCTTTCTATTTCTTTCCATTCATCCAAACTGGAGTTTTTATTCAGATGTGGAAACTCTGTACAATAAAAAATATGGCATGTTTTGATTGAGTTGCTTGAGAAATGACTGAGTCTTTTATGGTATATTCTTTGTCATGCATGACTTGTCTCCATTCTGCTTCCGAAGTTTTCTTTCGATTTCTCCTTTCACACCAAAATGAAATGTCACAAAGAAAGAGTTGAATAAAGCTACAAAAAAATGACTGGAAAGGTTTATACTTTATCATTAGTAATAAAAGCCTTTAACTGGAAATTCACTTTTTAGGAGAGTTTCTCTCTTTTCAACAATAAATATGATCACGTGTTTTGAGTGTATGCCTGAGAAGAACTCGCGTCAGATGCTTTTGGTTTCCAAGGAGTTATGCCTGCTTTACAAATACCTGACTTGATAAAATTTTTCAAACTCCTGCACGCTTTTGTAAGACAAGAGATTGTCTTATACTTCCATATGAAAAATAATAATTCGATGGAGGAATTCTCGGTGCATCCTGAAGAGGCGCAATGGAAGTTAGCGAAGGAGTTGTATGACGACGATAAGCTATTTCAGGTATTATTATTCTGTAAAAAACATATTTGACAAATTTTCAACAGTGAGTGGATTAGGCAGCTAGGATTGTTCGTAACTTGAGACGAGTTCCAGTTGAAGAAACTGTGGAAAGTAGCGGAACTATTTCAGAGAACAATGCCAGCTTAGTAAGAAAAAGTATTCGTCGTATACTGAAAGAAAGTGAAGAGTGTGAAAAGTTTCTTTCCCTTCTTTTGGATGAACGAGAATGGGAGTGCCTGAGCAAAGAGAGTGATCGCTGTAGAGTCTATTACAATTCTAAAGAAGGTCCTCGAATTCACGGCTTTAAAATAGAAACTGAAATTGACGCTCCTTTCTTAGCAACAGCTTCACTAATTAATGAAGTGGACTTGCTTCAAGAGCTATTTTGGTATGTCGGAAGTAGTGAAGAAATTGCCAAGTTGTCCAGGTGCAAGAAACTTTTAAGGTCTCGTTTTGTTACTCCTTGGCCGTTTGCTCCTCGAGAAGCCATATTATATGGCTATGCAGTGGACGGACTTGATGAGGACCACAGCGTAGTTGTCTGTTTTCGTTCAGCGGAACCGGAAGATTTTAAAGATGGTAGTTATGAATCAATTTCTTCGGATTCAAAGGATACTGTTAGATTGGATGTAAAAATTGGTGGCATTCAGTTTATTCCACTTGAAAGATGCAAAACACTATTTCGTACTGCTGTATTTGCTGATCCTCAAGTGCCTTATATTCCAAAGTGGTTGTTTCATTGGGTGTCAAAGCGAGTATGTATTTTCGGAATTCACACTTTTCGAAAGAAAGCAGAGCAGTTCACGACACTTCCCCATTGTCAACGAGTAGCACGAGATCCATTTTATGTTTGGGTTGCTCAAAGAATTGCTAAATATTGGCAAGAACAAAAAGGCTTTATAGATTGTACTCCAGAATCGATTTTGGAAGATTCCCTGAATGGTTCATCAGTTACTAAGAGTTACAGAAAAGCTGGAACTGTATTTTCTGAGTTTTAGTTTCCTTTGGATTTAGTAGAATACTAGGAAAGTTCGAATGATGAACTGCATCGATAAAGCCGCTTGGTTCTAAACAGAAACCTTGATATTGATGAAACGGAAACATTGTTGAAGCTTGAAGGAAGGTACCGGTGTAAAATTGTACACCTGGTTGATCACTATAGAGTTGGAGAGTTCTTTTGGACTCTGCATGACGAACAGTACTCATCCAGTTCATAATTGTTTTTGTTCCAGTCTTATCGAAGACGAAGAAGTGATCATAACCATTTCTAATTCCAGTCTCTTCTTTCGGAGGTCCCTTTAGTAGCCTTTCTTCGGTGAAGTCCAAATAGGATTGAGGTTCCGCTTGTAAGATTCTTCCCGTCGGTAACAGTTTTGCGTCAGTTTCTAAATATTCTTTTGTTCCCAGTCGAAGTGTATGCGACCAAATATTCTCTCCTTGGTTTTGTTTCCCACTCAAGTTCCAATAAACATGATTCGTCAGGTTAACTACGGTAGGAAAGTCAGCTTGTGATTCTACTCCGTAAGTAATATTTAAAACGGTACAAGCAATGTCTGCGACCCACTCGAGTTCATATTTCACTGTTGCCTTTACGTCACCTGGGAAACCCTGGTCTCCGTTTGGACTGAAAGTACTCATCAATACGTAAGCCTTGTGCGTTTCCTCGCCTAAGCTTTCAATCTTCCAAACATGTTTATCGAAACCATTCAAACCCCCGTGCGTACACGTAGTGCCTTCATTTTGTGAGAGCTGATATGTCTTCTTTCCTATTGTTAACTGTCCATCTTTGATGCGATTGCAAACTCTACCAATAGAAGCTCCCTGATATGATTTATCGCTTTCATATGCTGCCAAAGTATCCAACGACAGAGTGACGTTGTGACCATCGGCTCCACAAAGAGACACTATCCTTGCTCCGTACGTTAGAAAAGCTGCCTTTGAACCACAATCAAGAGAAAGTTCGACTAGATCTACACTTTGTCCTTCCTTTGTCTTGTCCACTGTGACTTTCTTGGCAAAAGTTGTGTTTTTCTGTTGGTTTGATGGCAAAGCAGTAGACAGTGAAGTCATTTTGTGTCTCAGCGCTGAGGAATGAGCTTTGAGACGTCGGTCCACAGGACAGACCAGTTGCCGAAGGAATTCTTTTGGATTTCTCATACCTTTCAAAGGAAGCCAAGTCCCATATTGAAGATAGTCACTCTTTTTCTCCAATGCTTTGGAAATCTTAGACATTCAAGTCGTCTTACTGTATATCATCTTTATCGCAATCAGTTCAGTCAACAACTTTTGGTCTAACATTACGTTGTCTACAATATCAAATAATTGAAAAAGTTGAAAGTAATCTTAACATTTTATACCAATTCCACTAGTGTTAAGGTTTTTATTCATTTCTTTTCCAAAAAAGAAAGCCGGACTCAAGCAGAATAAAAGACACATGCCGTAACCTGTAAGACAACTTCTTTCAGCTCTTCAAACTTTTGTATTGTCTATTAAGATCGTTTGAAATTCCTCCGGAACAATACGATGAAATAATGTCTACAATCCACTAAGCGACTTCAAGGAAACTTCAACATCTCTCTTTCTTCTTTCTTGCGAAAGCGTTTCTCACGTATAATTGTATTTATTATTTGCACTCACTATTTAAAACAACTTTCACGTGAAAAAAACAGCAGACATAAAGAATACTCAAAAGTCCGTTTCAACTTATCAAACCATCTTCTTGTCGTTGAAAAGCTCTCTTCAAACAAACTGTTCCAATCAAAGTTTTCTATTTGACTAGGCTTTTTGAAAGACAGCTTGTTCGTCTCAGTAACTCTTTTCACAACAATCCTTCGCTACCAGCAGTACTCAGTGTTCTTTTTACTTGCATAACTGGCTTTCAGCTCATACTTATGAACACTGATTGGGTGCTTCTAGTAGTTTCAGGAATTGAAATATTGTAAAGGTATCGGAGCACTTATACCTCGACTGATATAAATCTTTCTATAGTTGGCTAAAGATTTTTGGTATACAGGGCAGGGCATTTGTTTGTCTCTTTGACTGTTCTCCATGTTTGTGTCTTCTTGTACTCGGAACCGTGTAATATATTTATTCAATCGAGGGATCTCGACTCAGAAAATCTCTTCAAATATTATTGGAGAGGTTTTAGACAGAAACGCCAAGGAACGTCCCCATAAGAACGCTCTGAAGTTTCTTGCAACAACCAAAGAAGAGGCTGTCTTCTTCACCTTTGCCGAAGTGCAAGTAAGATAATAAACGCAATTTTACAAGTCTATTAATAGGTATTTTATTTACAGAGGCATGTACAAGCCTTTGCACAAGGCTTGTTGGAGTTGGGTTATGGCCCTACGAAACGAATCGCTTGCTGTCTTCCACTCGGAAGCCCAGAGTTTGTGTTTGCTTGTCTTGGATCTTTGAAGTCTCGTACAACTTTGATATCTCTGGACTTTGACAGGAGTTCGAACGAGATAGATCCTTCGGAAGTTTGTCGTGCTTTGGAGCACTACAAACCAAAGGGTCTCATCATGTGGCATGGCTACAAGTCGACGAATAACAAAGGAAACCAAAACAGTTATGTAGGCCCGGACTTGTGGACGCAACTTTTTCCAGAATTGGTCGATTTCGGAAAAGGATTGGAAGGGTTTACAAGAAATAATGGACGTCCTTTGTCGTTGCACAGATTCCCAGGTTTACGCCACATTTTTCATTCGGGAAACGCCAACCTTCCTGGTCTTATACAATATAGGAATCTGCTGGTATATAATAACGACGCCGTTTCTTCTAATGGAACGTTCGAGTGGTTGCCCGATGAAAAAGCCACTCTTTTTTTGTCTTCAGAGGACAGCAAAGAATATTCAGGAGGAGATATTTTGGACGCAATTCAACGATGCCTTCAAGCGATACAATATAGTTCTAACCATAATACCAAACAAGGTCGCGTTGTTATCGCACCAAACTCAAAGGCGACGATGTCTTATTTGGCCTATATTATCGCCAGTCTTCAGCAACAGACATTAGCTATCATTCCATCATTGCATTACGATGATACAGCGATTGAGATGGCAACAAAAATTGAAAATGCTCAAAAGGCAAAACAATGAAAACATATTGACTGTAGTGGGAGATGAAAAACAAAGTCTTGTTGTTTGAAAGATGCAAATAAAATTTATTCCCAGCAGATTCATAAATTATACTATGTACAAGAGTATTCTCTACGTATTAGTTACCGTGGTTCTCTTCATCTTGGTTCTCAACATATTTACAGTTTTTCACGAGAAGAGTGGCTGAATAATCATGAATAAGACCAGAAATATTACCTAACAAGGAAAGATTTCTGCATTGCTTTGCAACTTCAAAGAAGTAAGCATATCGTTCCTTTAAATATTTTGTATTACAACATGAAATCCTTTGTGACCCATCCTTGCAACAACTTTGGGACCTCTCGATAAGATTAATACACTCCAGTCTAGTCAAGGCTTAAAAAGAAATCTTAATTTAGAAATTCTTAACACTTACTCGAAAACTTTTATACAAATATTGGTAATATTGTCCAACTCCGTCCACGGGGTAGCGTCATTCAATACTCCTGTCAAGTTTTGCAAACTCCTCTCTTTTAAATGCAAAGGTTCCAAAAGGAAGCAAGTGCTATTATATATGACAATCAGCATCTTTAATGTATCTACACTCAGTTCACTTGTTAAAGCAGGTAAAAGACTCCTTAACACTGTAATGTCTGACTTCTCTTGGTAATGCTGCATGAGCCACTCAACGACACCTTCGTTCCATAAGGGCGTAAGGAGGGCTTTGATAATTCGAATGAAAGTATCTCCAAAACGTGAGCACAAAGGAGCCATTAAAAGATTAAATATCCCGGTCGATTGGAAATTTTCTTTCATCAAGGCCTCCAGGGAATGCGCCTCTTCAATAATATTATAAGCTTCCCAACAACATTTAAAGACACGATGGTTCCCGATTCTATGGCTATCTAAAAACTTGCGGCGACAAAGAATCTTCATCAAAACAACTGGAGAGCCTGCTAGGTCAAAGAAACCATCTTCAACTACTTCAGGACTTGGTTCAACTGTGGCAAATGAGTCTGATTCACTACAGAGACGTCGAGCTTCAACGTCAATCCTTTCCGAAGCCACCTTGCAAAAATGGTTCTTGAGAAACCCTGGATAACTTTGAGTAAATTGTTTCAATGAAAACAATCATAAATACCTTCTAGGAAAACGAATAAAATGTTATCATTGTTGTTGCCATTAGTTGCTGTTTTATGCCAAGAAGAGACATGTTGACTCAAGGGTTGTTTTGGTTCCAATGCAAGTGCGTCTCCTTTATAATAAAATGCAACGATGGTGTCGTATATGACTAGAATACTTGAGAGGAAGCACATTCAATAAACTTGATGAAGCTTACCAGGAGTCCACAAAACACTTGGGTGAAGACCCAACCAATAGCAAGTCTGACTCGCTAAAGAAGTGAGTTGTCCCTCAGTCGTTCGACTCCTTGTAACATGTTGTTCTACATTAGAGTCCACATGGCTGTTATCCAAAAGTACCCTGTCACCATGAGCACGCGCAGTGCTCGACTTCGTGTAAGATTTGGCAATTTTCTCCTCAAAACTTTCACGTAAACCTAAACATGAGTTGCAAAGAATGAGATCAATTCTCATCCCACTATTTTCTCGTTACCTTTAGAACGCAAAGGAAAACTATTCAAATGGGGTTGTGAAACATCTGCAGAATCAAAGTGATCAACATTTGGATACTCTGTTTCAAGCAAATATCCCAATTCTACTACAACTATTTGTTGCATTGATGACCACAAAGTGTCCAATCTCGGATAATTATCCTCATCATCAAATTCGACAATTATATTCTTTACCAACCGAAATCTACGAAGAACCTCAAGCAAGGCCGACGTAAGAACTTGGACAAACAGGTCAATTCGTCTTGAGTCTTCTTCTGTCAAGCTTCTCCATAGTATAGGAAAGTTAAACAAAAAGCCACTTCTGCCCAAAAGGTCATAACCCCGTGGCTCCTCCTTTACTCTTGCTACTGGACTTCGTCTCAGATAAAGTTCTCGTGCCTCTGCAATACAGCGCTCCATCAAAGCAACCAAATGCTTTCTAAAATTATTGCTACAGTGGTTACCACTTTGCGTAGAGTACTGAAGTTTGCAAACCGAACTCATTAGATTCGTCAGTTTCTCCTTCAATAACAATTCCTCGTTCAAGTTGACCTCCAATAGAAGAAAAGATAGGTCTGTTACTTCTAGAAATAGTTCTACACAAAGAAAATCGATAATCTGGTGGGCTACTTCTTCTGTGAGCTTTACAATTTCTTCGCGAATCTGATCCAGTCCATCGCAAGAAATAAACTCAGTTTGAGAAAGAATCTTTGTTGCTGCTTCAATCAGCTCCGAACTTTTTTTAAAATTTGAGTAGTTCTCAGTTTTGGAACTACACAGAACTCGAACCTCTTCAGGAACTCTAAGAAGGAAAAGAACTGAATTTAATAGATTCCGAACCCGGGTATGATAGCCCGTTTCCGAAAGCTTGTTTTGAAAATCAACCTTCACAATGTTCCTATGGAAAAAGAAATGTCAAACAGAAAACCTCAACTTTCAGCAAACTCACTGAAGTACTTCAACGGCTTCTCTCAGTCGAATCATATCCGCTCTAGCCACCTTCAAGACTTGTTCTTGGTTCAGAAGCTTTAAAATAAATGGTTTCAGGTCCTCACCCAGCCTTACGCTTAGAGCTGGGTTTACGACAGAAGTCTCTAGTTCGATAGAGAGAGAATTCAAACGAGACGAGAGGGCCCTAATATGAAGGTAAAATCAAGGTGAAAAAGATAGGAAACAACACACCTTGCTCCTCCCGAAAGAGAGGCTGCCTCTAAAACGTATTGAAGGGAAATCCAACCCTGGCTTACGTCCTCCCTTTCCAAGTCATCTTCTTGACTTTTGGCTCTTAAAGACAACTCAGGAGGAGCTTTTTGCAAAAGCGTATTCCACTGAGTTCTTGAAACAACACCTTTCAGAATACTTCCCTAAAAGTCAAGAACTTTTAAGTACGCATATGCCAGGAAAATAAGCATACCTTCTCGGGTCTTTCCATTCAGATTGGCGTGACAAATGAAAAATGCTATAATTGCTTTGTCGCCAAGATTTTTGAAATTCAATCTTATTTGTTCCATGCAAACACTGAATGAATGGAATGACCGATGGTATCGAAAAAGTATCTTTCTTGTCTAGTAACACTAAAATTTAATGATCATCTCCCAATCTACAATCTACATTCGAAGTAAAATACCTTGGTTTCGAAAACCTTCTACAAACTATAGCAACGAACATTGTTATCAATAGTTTCGAGTATGATAGCATAGATGATTTGGATGTATAGACAGCTTCAAACCAAGCAAAAATAATGGTTATTAGATACCGAAAATGTGAAAGAAATTTTTTTTCATAGAAAGTGTGATAATATTAGAATGAAACTTGTTGGTTAGGAAAGAAATATTGTCTAGTCCAGATGTCAGGCCTCCTCCGCACTGAAAATACCTATAGATACATAAAAATTCTTTGATTTACAATTACGCAAACTTCTAAAAAGTACATTTTTCTATCTTAAGTAAACGCTGAATAGTGGCTTACTGTAAGAGCCGTCAAGCTGCCTAATGTCTCGTAGAAAAGGACCGAATTTCGTATCGTCCTAAAATGTGTTCAGGCTGTGGGGTGCCATCGATCCTTTCGAGCGTAACTTGCACTGAAAAGCAGCAATGAACGACGCCTTTGAAAGGAAGTCTGTCCCTTCCAGTCCCAGAAAAGAACCAGCAAGCTTTTTCAAAGTGCCTGGTGAAGGTAAATACGAGAATAAGCAGTTTTTCGACAGTTCAGTGAGACAAACTACTGCTGCAACAACTTCTGCTTCAAAGGATCCCCCAAACCGTGAAAATTCAAGCTCTTCGAATACTTCAAGATCTAGTTATTATCCGTATTTACGAAAAGTGAAGCTTTCTTTGGTCACAGTACCTCGCGAAAGTTTGACGTCAACAGAAAATCCGTTGAAGGAAACAGCAGAGGAGAGCTCGTTGAGAAGATTAGGAAGTACAGTCAGTCGTACGTTGAGTAAAAGCACCTTTCAGGATATGGAGTTGAGCACAAGTCAAGTCGAGTCTGTTGTATCTGGAAGTGATGTCAGCGTCGCTTTTGTCAACTACGGAACCTCCTTATTTGCTTTTAGATTGCAAGACAATCCGGAAAATGCAAGTTGTGATAAGGACGACTTCACTTTAATGGAAAAAGGTTCGAAGGATGTGAAAGGTGGTGGGGATATTTCTTCACCAACCGGTAGCGAAGGTTCAGATTCTGGAAAGGACTCGCGAGTGGTATCTACAAATAGTGATCCACAGCTGCTGAGGCTTTTTAGGTTTAAGGATAGCATTACCTGCCATCAAGCAGTATGTGACGACAACAATTGTGTCCAAGTAGCAGTTGGTTTCTCGAAGGGAGAAATTCTCATTTACTTTGACGTATTCTCATCCAAGGCAACTTCGCTGGTCCACAATAAGGATGGTTTATTTAATAGTTCACAAGTATCAGCTATCTTATGGGTCCCGGGTAGCCTCACGAGACTGGTCACTTCACACGGTGACGGTGGTCTTTTGGTATGGGAAGCCAGGTAAGCAAAATGAAAGTTGTGGCTTGAATAGTATTGGTTTTGAACAAGTTTTAGAGACGGTGTAGATGATAAGAATTCATCAAACAATAGTAGCGGCAGTTCAGCTCAAGATGGAAACTCAAATATTGCAACTGAAACTAGTCTTGGCACATTGCCCAGCTCTTCATCTCCAACACTTCATCGTTCAGGTACACCAAAGCAGGAACATAATAAGAGCCCGAAACCAGCTACTGCTTCTTCTTCTACTTCAAACTCGAAAGGTCTTCATACTTTGACAGTTACGAGACCTTCGAGACGTAAACGACTCCATCCTGTATCCCAGTGGCATTTTTGTGGTAGTCCCATAACAGATATTGCATTTTCTCCTGATGGTTCACAGTTGGCATTGACTTTTAAAGATGGTTTTCTGCGAATTTGCGACTTCTCAAGGGAACAAATTCTGTTTTCATTTCAGTCCTATTTCGGAGCCCTGCTCTGTGTTTCTTGGAGTCCAGATGGTCAGTATGTAGCAACAGGTGGAGAGGACGATTTAGTATCGTTATGGGAACCTGTTACCCGACAACTTATCTGTAGAATGCAAGCACACACTTCCTTTGTTTCAGCTATAGCGTTCGATTATTGGCTGTGTCATGAAGGGCATTACAGACTGGGTTCTGCTGGTCAAGATACAAAGCTTATTTTATGGGACTATCCAGGACTAGAACCTGTTCACGTGAAAACTCAAAGAGGTTCAAGAGATAGTTTGAAAGAGACGTCCAACGGAGACTTTTCTTTTCAAGAAGACTCAGGATTACTTCGAGGAAGGTTTGCAGACTTGGAGATAGATGGACAGAAGTCCTCCCGAAATATTTTAAGAGCACCACTACCCCTCCGTCTTCAGCAAGGTCAGATGGGACTCTCTCGTTCAAACTCACCTCTTTATTCGAACCCTGGTCGTTCTCCTCGTACTAGAACTGGAAGTACTTTTTCTAAAAACTCTGTCACCAGCAATGTCTCAGAACCGTTGGCTGTTATTCCTGCTAGACCACGGGCTAAGATTCCCTTCATAGATCCTCTTCTTGTCCATATTGCACATTCAGAACCCTTGACGGATATGATATTCTTTAAGGGGGGAGTACTAACCGCTAGTTCTTCAGGACTCGTAAAATTTTGGTCGAGACCGACACAAGCAACTTTTACATCCATGTCATCGAATGACTCAGCGTCGAGACCCTTTTTTAGAGTTTCTATGGAGATTCCACAAGTCGCGGTAGACACCGAGTAGGCTACATAGCGGATACAGCGATTCTCTTTCATATATGGAAATATGACCAACCTTATGTGCAGACATCAAGCTCACTAGAATTTTTAAGATATATTCCGGATTTTCAACTTCACTCAACAGATAGAGTCAAGTTGATGAGGATGATGTTGTAACACAGTTTATGATATTAAATGCATGTTATCACCAAGAAACTATTTGTTTTTTCATATTTGGTACAATATTTTGTAAGCAACGGACTACCCCATACTACTTAATTTCTACGCTTTCACGGAGTTCTAGAGATGAGTATAGTTTCTTATGCCAATACCTCCCTGAATCTTGTAAGCCTACATTAATCTCCTTGACATTCGATTTGGCGCCAATTTCAGTTGTTTGAACGGAGTCCTAGTGCGCGGTCCAGTCCTTGCAAGAGATGTCCAGAAGAAGGGACACTACAGATAATAGCGACGAGATAGTGGACGGCTTCGGAGATGCCCAGAACGTCAATGAGTCAAACCCTTACCACTCCAGCGAAAGCGAGGGAGAAGATCTCTTTGGAGAAAATATGATGGATGACTACAAGTCACTGGAAGATCTTGATTATTATGAAGTGGACTCTGAAGCAGAAGAGGAAGCGGCCGAAGCTTCACTAGATATAAGTACACGAAGACAAGCAGAAAGAAAGATGGAAGAAAGAGATAGCTTAAAAAACTTAACAGGAGACAAACTGAAAGGCTCTAGACATCTGGACAATTTGGAACGCTTCCAAAGCATCTTTGATAAATACTCCAAACACCAAGAACGTTTGGAAGAAGATTCTATAAGTTCTTCAGAACCTCTAGAAAACAAAAGAAATCTAAGCGAAAGTGGGAAACTGATTGACGAAAAAATTTTTGATGAAGACGATGCAGAAGCTGATATGGAAACATTCACATTTGAAGATGACATGGGATGTTTGCAGGAATGGCTTAAGATGGAGAAGCCGCGCAAAGCTATCAAGAGAAGATTTCTCAGTCTTTTGAAAGCATGCGTCGACGAAAATACCGGTGCCCAATATTACTACCAAAAATTGCGTTCAATGTGTGCCCAGAACGGCCAGAGTCTCATAGTAAGCTATCGACATTTTTACAGTAATGATCCAATGCTAGCCGTATGGCTTGCGGAGTCTCCTACTGAAATTCTAGCATTATTCAATGAGGTGGCAACAGAACTAACTTTCAAGATTTTCCCCCAATATCGATTTATTCAGCCCGAAATCTTTGTGAGGATTTCCGATATGCCCATATGTGATAGCTTAAGAGATATTCGTCAGCTTCATCTCAACTGCTTGATAAAGGTATCAGGTGTCGTTACTCGGAGGACAGGGGTATTTCCTCAGCTGAAATTGGTAAAATTGGACTGTTCGAAATGTGGTTGTGTAGTGACTCCGATATTTTCATCATCGAACAAATATCCCGAAAAAATGGTGTCCTTTTGTCCAAGATGCGAGTCAAAGGGGCCTTTTACTATAAATTCTGAACAGACATATTATGGCAATTTCCAAAAGATGACTCTACAAGTAAGTCCACAAATTTAGTAATTATTTTGTATGCTTAGGCAAGACGTCTTCATAGGAGAGCCCAGGTACAGTCCCTGCAGGTCGTTTGCCGCGATATAAAGAAGTCATCTTGCTTGGAGACTTAATTGACTCTGCACGCCCAGGCGATGAAGTTGAAGTAACTGGCATTTACAAGCATAGTTTGAATGCTGCTTTAAACGTGAAAAACGGATTTCCTGTCTTTGCCACCATCATTGAGGCCAATTATGTTCGAAAGACTGAAAATTTTCGTTCTGAAGTCGAACTTACAGATGATGACATTTCCGACATTCACAAGTTAGCTGAAGATCCTTCGATAAGTGATCGCATCGTGGCATCGATAGCGCCATCCATTTTTGGACATGAAAACATTAAACTTGCCTTAGCACTTGCGTTATTTGGTGGGCAGTCCAAAGAAGTTGGTCAACGCCATCGGATACGTGGAGACATCAACGTTCTTCTACTGGGTGACCCAGGCACTGCGAAGTCGCAATTTTTAAAGTATGTTGAGAAAACTGCACATCGAGCTATTTATACCACTGGAAAGGGTGCTTCGGCTGTGGGCTTAACGGCTGCAGTTCATAAGGATCCAGTAACTCGAGAATGGACTTTGGAGGGTGGCGCTCTTGTCTTATCAGATAGAGGAGTTTGTTTGATTGACGAATTTGACAAAATGAATGATCAAGATCGCACCTCTATTCATGAAGTAATGGCTTTTGAAGCACTTGTATAGCAACCTGTTGACATACATTTTAGGCAATGGAACAACAGAGCATTTCGATATCAAAGGCTGGAATTGTTACAACCCTTCAAGCTCGTTGTTCTGTAATAGCTGCAGCGAACCCTTTAAAAGGTCGTTATGATCAATCAGTATCGTTTTACGAAAATGTTGATTTGAGTGAGCCCATATTGTCTCGTTTTGATGTTCTTTGTGTTGTCAAGGATGTTTGCGATCCCGTACAGGATGAGGTTCTTGGAAAATTCGTCGTCAATTCGCACTTCCATTCGCATCCAGGAGATTCGTACAAAAAGACAACGAAGAACGAAATGGGTTCTTCAGAAAAGTAAGAAAGTAATGCTCACTGTGATGATATGTCTCTGATTCATCTATTATTAGTTCGAAGGGTACTCGTTTGATACCACAAGAAACTCTGAAGAAGTATATTTTATATGCCAGAAAATTTGTCAATCCAAAGCTAAATCATATTGATCAGAATAAACTCGAGAGACTTTACATCGAACTTCGAAAGGAATCGATGGGCAGTGGAGGACTTCCTATTGCAGTTCGGCATCTCGAATCCATTATTCGGCTCGCAGAAGCGCATGCTCGTCTACATCTACGTGATTACGTTAAGGACGAAGACTTGAACAGAGCTATTGGTGTTATTCTGGAGTCTTTCTTCTCAGCACAAAAGTATTCGGTCATGCGTAGTCTTCGAAGAACTTTCAGTAGATACCTTGGTTTTCAAAAGGACAAAAATGAACTCTTGCTGCATTTACTTGGCACTATTTTTCATGAGTACGCCTTGTCTTTTGAAAGTAAGTCCGAATGGGAAGAACCATCAGACTACATGGAAATTGACGTGAGAGATTTCGAGAGTCGCGCTAGTGAGTTGGGCGTTCAAACCTGCAAATATTTCTATCAGAGTGCTCTGTTCTCTAACAACGGATTTTCTATAGATTTAGATCAAAGACGCATTCGAAAGAGACTGTAGAAAATTCATTCTTCATTTGGGAATTTTGTGATTCCTGCAATAAACGAAAACCTGTGGAACTATTACAGCATGGAAAATACAAGCAAGCTTCTTAAGAAAAGTATAAACCGGCTAGGCTCCAACCCCAACTTGACTATCATGGACAACGACTACTTGGCCAATCAGACAGAGCTTGAACAGGAAGTTACCTTTTGTGTAATTGGTGCTTCTGGGGACCTCTCACGCAAGAAGACCATGCCGGCTCTATTTTCCTTATATTATCACAACGTTTTACCCTTTAAGTTTCATATAGTTGGGTTTGGCAGGAAAAATCTTTCTGATCAAAGTTTTAGAGAAGCAGCTATGGAGAATCTTTCTTGTCGAACAGGTGTGGTTGACAAAGATGAGTGTGACCGGAAAATGCAACAGTTTCTACAGCATGTTCACTATGTTTGTGGACAGTACAACTCAGAAGAAGACTTTAGAAACCTACATAAATTTTGCTGCCGTTTGGAACAAGATGATGATGCAGCAAGATTGTTCTACTTAGCTGTCCCTCCTAGCGTAAGTTTACATCTAGAAACTTTTTAGATTCTTGAAATATCTCTTTTCTTCAGGTATTTGCTTTTGCCTTGAAAAACATCAAGCTATGTGCTACTGCGGAAAACGGCTGGACTCGGGTTATAATCGAGAAACCTTTTGGTAGAGATAGTGAGTCATATGAAGAGCTTCGAGAGACGATTTCCAAATACTTTGAAGAAGATCAAGTTTATCGGATAGATCATTATGTCGGGAAAGAAGTTGTGCAAAATATTACCACATTACGTTTCGGCAACTATGTGTTTGAGTCACTTTGGAACAGAAAGCATGTTCGTCGTATAGATATACTATTCAAGGAGAATTTTGGTACTGAAGGTCGTGCAGGATACTTTGATAGTTTTGGAATTATTAGAGATATAATGCAGAATCATTTGTTACAAGTCTTAGCATATTTAACTATGGAAAGACCGAAAAGTTTTAAAGCAGATGATATCAGTACGGAAAAGACGAAACTTATTGGATCGATCAGACAGTTGAAGGCGGAGGATTTCGTAACTGGTCAGTATGATGGTTACAAAGCGGAAGAGGGAGTTCCAGAAGACTCAACTACTCCTACCTTTGCTGCGTGTGTTCTTCATATTGATAATGATCGATGGAAGAATGTTCCCGTTCTGATGATTGCCGGTAAAGGGTTAGATGAACGTTTGGCAGAAATAAGGATACTATTCAGGAAAGGACTAACAGAATCTTTCTTGCACAAGGGAGATAGTATTGGGAATCAGATCGTAATACGTATTCAACCTGATGAAAGTATTAGTTTACATATTCTTTCAAAAGTTCCCGGTTTATCGACTGAGCTACGGGAAACCTGTCTAGATTTAACGTACAGAGACAAGTTTGAGCACGAAAGTAAAGATATTGCAGATGCCTATGAAAGACTCATACTTGATGCCATTCATGGAGAGAAGTCTTTATTTATATACGATGAACAACTTGAGGCTTCATGGAAACTTTTTACTCCAGCTTTGAATGAGTTGGAGTCGGAAAAGTCGCGTCCTCCTCTTATATACAAATTTGGCGATGGTATTCCATCAGAAGTGGAAAATCTTCTTTGGAAGCATGAAGCTGAATGTGGCAATTGCATTGAGGCAGAACCAGCCCTGAAGGATTTCCATTCTAATGAATTTCGCAACAATCTCTGATTGCCTTGTGTAATATTGATGTTTTCATAAAATTGTACTTTCTTGCACTGTTTAGAAAGTCTGTTGTGATATCCCAATTGTTTGTGAGTCGGTCAGCATTGAAACTGGTCTAGTGGTTCCATTGGATATGAAGCAAGATAAAAACGGTTTATCAACATTATGATACACAGATTTGGAAAAAATTGATAGATGATGGAATACAGCCAAACTGCTACTAGAGTTCACCTTCTTTTTCAAGTTTCTCGCCAAAATCGTACACATGAGAAAATCGAAGAAATACTAGAAAGATCTTGTAGAATGAACCCCGGATCATTGAAAGTCCACTTTTGTACCTAGGAAACATCAAAAGCTGCATTTTTATTGCAGTCAATTCGATACAAGTTGGATAGTTTGTGACACAATCGAGTGCTAATAGTTAAAAACCTGAACACGTAATGATGCCTTGAAAGGAACAAGTTTTCACTTAAAACTGGGATATTTTGATAAAGAGCGAGAGAAGCACCAATATAATGAGAGACTAAGTAAACCGCAAATACTTCATTCATGTAGAAATTTGTTGTAGAGTGTGGAAAGCAATGCTCATAACTTCTCTAAGCAGAAAAACGGAATGAACGAGCAAAAACTAAGCACTTAAGTGCAGATGTAGAAAGAATCCGTTTTTCGCACTGTTCCCCTCTAAATGATTGTGATAAGACTTCCTCAAAGTAGAGGCGGAGGAGCCAAAGTTTCTCCAACGAAAAAGTCAGTGAATCTGACGAGCCCACTTCAACAACATGTTCAAGGAACATATTGACTGTAAACTCTGTCCTTTTGCGTTGATGGAAACATATAGTGCAGCAACCTTTCCAAACGAAAATAAAACAAGAGCTCTGACGAAAATATTCCAAAAGATTGCCCTCCGTTGCTCAGTAAGAGATGTCGGCAACGTACCAGTCACTTAAACAGATATCTCTGAAGAGTAAGGTCTCATTGAGATAGTAAAGAGTCCAAAGAAGAAAAGTACTTTTCCTGGAATCAGTCCAGACTGCCTTTGAACGAAAGCTGTATCAAACAAAAATCTTACAATTATTTCTTCATAAATAGCTTAAAGAAGTTATCGCTCTCTTTGTGGAAAACTTCTTAGTTTCCCGATAAACTCTGTCGACACTAAAAACCTTCGCAATAACTAATCATTAACGATAATAGTGACTTGTGGTCCAGCTTCATATCATCAATGGTATTCGTCAGTAATTCTGTTTTACGTAGCACACACTCGTTTACTGCGAACACTCAGACCAGTATTCCTGGATACTTTCTTTCTGTTAAGAAAGACCAAAAGCCGGTAACTGGAAAGCTTCCTGTGAAAAGCAAACACCGGTTGTTTTCGAAACGACTGACAGCTTGCACAGAAAGCCGAAGCGAAAAAAGTCAATGCATAACAGAAGAAAAGCTGATTAGAGAAGTAACTGAAGTTATTTCTGGTATCGATATTAAAGTTAGATTAACTTCACTGGGTGGTCGCAAACGCAGAATTTCGGTGAGTTGAGAGAACTTTTTGTCTTTTTTAAAGAGTCGTTGAGTTTTTCAGGGTGGACTCGATATTGAAGCTCCGGTAAAACGAGTTTGGGACATTATGACCGACTATGAAAAACTTCCAGATATTCTCCCGAATATTGTTGAGAGTAGAGTTATTCATGACACGGTTGGAAATAAGCAGGTAGAACAGGTCATTCTCCTTTCAAGGACTTTCAACATTAGAAGCAGAATTTTGGTTGAAGTCCTTGAAGACTATATGAAAGCACTACGTTTTTTAAAGATACAAAGCCGTGATTTTGAAGAATTCGATGGTAACTATCGATTTAGCGAAATTGAAAGCGGTTTTTGCCGAATGGAATATAGCCTAGACGCTTCACCCAACTTGCTTTTTCCAATATCTTTGGTAGAGAGGAAAATTTTGAAAGAAGTACCACAACTGCTAGCAAATATCAGAGAAGTTGCTCTTTATGGTGAAAAGGAGGAAAATGGCTTATAGTACAGAAGCTGATAGAATATGAATTTATGCGTTCTTGGAGACAGCCCTATTTGCTTAAGTTGACAACAACGCTTTGAAATTACTTTGTTTGGGATTTGAAATGAATTCAAATGATGTTGTAGTCAAATTGGTTAGTTATCAAAAGCAAAATTTGGATATTGAAATGGAAAGTTTTTGTCAATCTTTTTCCGTGGTTTGTTTACTGAACTATTTCCTTTGACTTGTTACATGCACTTTATCTTCAGTATTCATGTTTTCACGTACATTGTCGTTCTTCTTGAGTATTTGGATGTTCAACAATTGACTGTTCGCGGAGGAACTGAACCACATTTAGATCATGGTTTAAACAAAAACAGCCCAAAAAACTTTCTTCATTTGTCGATGAAGCTTGGAAACTAGCGCCGAAATTTTGTAAATACTTCCTCCGAATGTAAGGTGTCGCTTGGTCGATATCTTGGAACAAAAGCAAGTTCGATCGACATATGAGGTTTCTGTATACAGTTGGACTTCTCCTCAAAGAAAACGGAGAGCTTTTTGAATTTTACAAACAAACACCTTCAAGATAACGTCAACTCCAACAACTATTCACTATCTGCTTCTTTCACGTATCCGAGTTCCAGAGCCATTTATGACCATATCATTTCCACTATGCTTTTTAGAAAACTTTCCCGAACTCTTCTGGGATTCAAGACTTTGCAAAAACTTTCGAAGATTCTCCAGTCTATCTAATCTTTGGCGCAATTCTGCATATTTACGTTTCAAAGCTGTTTCAGTCTTTCTCACACTCCCTTTCGTCCAAGAAGAAAAGTCCGAGAGCGAAGAAGTTGTATCTTGCGTTCCTTTGGGCCTGTCGAGCTCTTCTGAGTCTGAGGAAACATATAATATATGTCTATTGCAGTTTGGCACTTCCGTAAAATGTAGTTCTGACCGTAAGGACTGTATTTTGGCACGCTCGTGATTGATTTGTGTGACGACGTATGAACAAAGACGCCTCAAGTGTAAAAGTGACTCTTCTTCCGACATTACATCAGGTTTACCAGAAATTCCCACATGAATTCCGTTCTCTGTTTTACTGCTAATCATCTTGAAGTAAAATTCATCAGGGTTACGTTGCAATGCTTTCTCTACAAGTGCCTTGTACCGCCGTTCTCTTTTGTGGTAGTTCTGTGACCTCTCTATGTAATCTTTATGCTTCTCAAGAAGTCCAAACTTAGCTCTACTTCTCGGTTGGCCTCGCTCCTTATAGGTCTTTTGGGGCAAATACTTCTTCAAGGACGACATGCAAACTAAAGTGTTACACGGCGAGAATCAATTTCTTGAAGAATTTTCTGAGCAATTCCTTTACAGTACGTCGATCTGAGATTTTCGTGGGATAATGCATTCAGGGGAGAGTCCATAATAGACGTGGCGGTCTATTCGTGTTTCTCTAATTATATTTGATACAATTTCAGTTGAATCTTACCTTTACAACTAAGTTTGACATGTTCTCGACTTTCTTGTTATTTACCAGTCTCAAACCTTCGAGAAATGCTTGGAATTCGGCTGGATAATTAGGGGCGATAAATGATATCTGTTCCCACGCAATTTCGTCACTGATGGGCATAATATACTTCGCTGCCGTGGTATCAAATAAGAAAACCGGTATACAGCCGGCTGACATCACTTCTAGCAACCGAAAGGTACTCGGGGATCGTCCTTGTGGAACTAGACAGAACTTGCTTTGCTCAACGAGTTCTTCGTAAGACCAAAGATCGTATTCTGGAGTGGGAACGGAAAATTGTGGCTTTGTAACAAATATGATGTCTTTTCCGTTATGAAAATTATTCAATATGGATCTTATACCCCCAGCAGTATGGAGAGGATCTAAACGAAAAGAAGATAAGAACATGAAGTATGTCTAATGTATGTTCTTACAACTGGTCCCTTTGAATGTTATTAGGAATTTCTTTGGATGCTCAAGTATTCGAAAGTGTTGTCGAGGAGGGAGAGGCAATGACTTGTCAAAGTTACTGCGAAAAATGTCACTGGAGAGATGCGTCTTTAGAAGCGCTGCAAACCCAACATCGTGCTGACCTTCACACTAATTTGGATTGCTTTCAGTACAAATCCGGCGACAATTGCTATCTGACCTTGCCGTCAAGAAAATCCAGAACCATGTGATTTATACCAAGGTTCCAATATGGAAGATCTTGTAGCTTGTATATATGCCGTCCCTTATTTTCTGCAATAAAATAGCATGCGTCTGAAGCATTCTGAGTAACTCTGTTTGACCGACGAAGTTCATTGACAACCTGAGAAGTCCCGGCACCTCCGAATCTTAAAATTTCATCTGAAAGGTTCCTTCTGGCTGCTCTTCTCATATCGTCATGAGAATAGATGTAAATAGTGTAGTTTAAAGAAATGCATTTTGCTGTGCAGGTTGTTGTGTTGCAAGGTAGTAGAAACCAATTGCAAAATGGCACATATTGTTTCGGCCAACTAATCGTTTCTATACTTCGGTATGTCATAGCATATTTCTCTTCTTTGATATCTCGTACCCTTGAAGCAGCTGCTTTCAGCAATCTAAGCAGCCTTTTGTTATCTAATTCTGATAGCCCATGATGGCCATACATTGGTTCTGTTAACGAAAAACAATTAGCAGTTGTGAAAACAATTGATTGACATACTTCGTATTGTATTGTAGCTATAAAGCAGACCCGCAGGACTGTAGAATTGCGTGTCGGGAACTTTTTTGTATCTGTAACTTACTGTAAGCAAAGACAAAAATGAGAAAGAGCAAAGAATTAAGAAAGGAAGCCGTAATAACATAACTCTAAGCAACATGCGAAAGACAAATGAGAAAAAAAAATAAGAGCGCCAAAAAAAAACTTACTGAAATATGAGGGTTTGATCGTTTGATCAGGGCTAATGAATATGCACCTTGAATGCCGGATCGAGTCTAATTGGAGAATCAGTTCATATACTCTAGTAGGAAGTGCATAAGTTGCTTACAGGGACGACGTTTAAAACCTTTTGTTGAACATTTGTAACCGTTTGAACCCGGCTTTGACAGTCTCAAACTTCAATGTGCTAATTCTCAAACGCAGTTGTTCCGCTGTAGCAAGCTGAGAACAGCAGTTCTCCCAAACCGTTTCACCAAGTCAAGCTTGTTTTTCCAGTTGCACATTCAAATATGTGTCCACGGTTCGGACTTCCAAACTGACGAAGCAAAAACGTCAAAGTGACAAAACTTTATTTTCCCTCTTGCACTTAATAGTTGAAAGTTGCTTTGCAGTTCAAGACCGCAAGTATTTCGACTCCTTCAAAAGACAAGTATGAATTATCGCACTGCACAAGTCAAAGGAACCCTGAGCCCAGAGAAGGACTAGTGGCGTTTCGTGGAAAAGCTGTGCATAAAAACAGTAGTCAAGAAACATTCTGCGAATGTCAATATATGAGTTACGTCAAGAGCACTCTCATAAGAGCGGCAACAAGAGAGACAAAAGCTTCAAGAAAACATGAAGGAAGTATTCTGGTATTTATAGGATATATTCATACATATATAGACAATTGATTCCGTGCGCTTGCATCCTTCGTATTACTGGACTCATATCAAGAGAGTCAGAACCTAAACAGCTTGTTTGTTGTAGATGAGTTTACTGATGCATGCCTAGTTCTTTCACATCAAACAATGAAAGATATGCAGAAAAGAAAACCAAGTTGAAAATCAAAATGAGACATTTTAGAGATGCAAAAGTGAACACAAATAATTTAGATGCAAACTGAAGAAAATTTAAATTGCACAAAACTTTACTACAAAGATTTCGGCTTCAAAAGGCCCGGAAGCCATTCTTTCGGTTTCTCGAAACCCAGAAGGTTTACACAAGTTGCTGTGACATTAACTATACCAGCTTTCTTTCTTTTGGCATCACCCCAAGTAACTGATTCATCTATTTCATACTTGTCGATCCCATATCCTGTTATCATAACTGGAACTGGGGTTGTTGTATGACTAGTCAATGCTTTCCAGCCTTCTGGTGAATTTCCCTTTACAGGTTTTCCTGTTTTCTTATCAACCTCTGCCATAGTTTCACAATTTCCATGATCTGCGCTAACAATAGCAATACCGTTTCTCCCAATAATGCCATTCACTAGACGAGATAGACTAACATCGACTGCTTCCATAGCAATAACTGCTGCATGATACACGCCTGTATGACCTACCATATCTCCGTTTGCATAGTTTAGAACTACAAAGTCTGGTTTGAATTCATCTATCGCAGCCAAAGCACTATCTGTAATTTCTGCAGCCTTCATCCAAGGCCGAGTATATTCTCTTTCTCTGCTACTTGGAATTTCAACATAAAGTTCGAGCTCCTCATTAAATTTGTTTGCTCTGTTCCCATTAAAAAAATAAGTAACGTGACCGAATTTCTGGGTCTCACTTATTGAAAGGCGTCGACACTCATTATGAACCAAGTATTCACCAAGAGTTCTCTCAATATTGGGAGGAGACACAATATAATGTTTGGGAATCTTACTTTCACCATCATATTGCATCATTCCTGCAAAGCGAACTTTTGGCATCAAACCTCTATCGAAATGATGAAATGTTCCTTCAGTAGCATCAAAACATGTCGAAATTTCGATGGCTCTATCGCCTCGGAAATTGAAGAGTATCACAGAGTCGCCATCTTTCATTCTCCCCACTGGACTTCCTTTTCCATCCACAATAATAAATGGAGGAAGGAACTGATCGATTATGCCATTCTCCTCCTTACGAAAGGTTTGAATGGCTTCAGATGCACTCGAAAATGTCCTAATAGTTTCTGTGTCAGCCAAGACATGGGAAAGCCAACCTCTTTGTACAATTCTCCAGTCCGCTTCATATCGATCCATCGTAGTTACCATTCTACCTCCACCTGATGCAACTTGAACATCTATGCCCTTCTCTCTTAAAGAGACCAAGTGCTTCTCAAGTGGTTCTACATAGTCAAGGGCCGAAGTTTCCGAAACATCACGCCCATCTAAAAGAATATGGAAGCGAATATGCTGGCAACCTTCTTCAAGTGCTGCATCTAACAACGCATAAGCGTGTTTCACGTGTGAATGGACATTCCCATCCGACCAAAGACCAAGTAAATGAAGAGTTCCCTCCTTTCCATCTCTGCAGTTTTCCAATAACCACTTCCAAGTCTCACCTGTTTTGAAGGACTTCGAATCCATAGATTCGTTGACTAACTTAGCTCCTTGTGAATAAATGCGCCCAGCACCAAAGGCATTGTGTCCAACTTCTGAGTTGCCCATGTCCGAGTCTTCAGGAAGACCAACCGATCTTCCGCTTGCGTCAACCACTGCGTTCAGTACTGTGTTGCCCTTTGGAGTCTTTCCACTACGAAGAGCATCCAAAAAAGGTGTTTTTGCGCAATACCAGGCGTTGTATTGCTCTTCTGCCCCAATACCAACACCGTCCATTATGATGAGACAGACTGGACCAGGAGGTTTCTTAAAGTCCTTACTCGACTCCAGCTTGAACGACATTCTGGACGTCAACTGACGACGCAATCAAATCACACAATCCTATTCTGAAAGACTGGGGTTTTCATTGAAGAATATTTTCTGTGAACTAAGCAAAGAATACGACTTTGAAAACAATTGAGACATTGTCAAGTCACCTTTTGACGCTAGCCAAGTCATTCATCTTTGTTGGTAGTGCTTCCTCCTTTGTGTATTCATATATTGCGGAGACGCTTATTTTTTGTAGCTTCTGTTTCTAGTGTTTTACATAACCGATACATACAATATGAGATTGATTCTACTTTGCCAGCAGAAGCTTATTAGGAACTTGCGTTGGTTTTACTTTTTAGGTCGTAGGACTTGTTTAGTTTGTTTACTGTTGCTAAGTTGTTCTATTTGCTGGAGGCTTGTGGTTCCTGCCAACGATCGAGTTTCTGAAATCCGTTACCAAACTGCTTCTAAAGATGCTATTCCTATGAACGTTCTCAACTATTCTTCCTTTGGTGTTCCAGTGTATGTAAGTTTACTTGTTCCGCCTATCCAAAGCAGTTTTAAAGTGAACCTAGGTTATGATGCCTTTGAGTTCGGTCACTGTCTCCGGCGATCTTGTGGAGAATTATGATGGCTACGACTTGCAATGGATTTTGAAGCAATGGAAAAAGAACGGAGTATATGGTCTTATGGTGGACGTGTGGTTTGGAGTTGTAGAAAAGACACCAAAGCAATATCGTTGGGAACCCTATATTCAGTTGTGTAAACATCTTAGACAAGCTGGTTTGAAGCTTCAGACAGTTATGAGTTTTCATCGGTAAGTTGTGTTTGCTAATATTGGCTGTTTGTGATATAGTTTTGTACAGCTGTGGAGGAAACGTTGGGGATCGCTGTTATATACCTCTTCCGCAGTGGGTTTTGGATGCTGCAGCTAACAATTCAGATATTTTTTTTAAGGATCAGTTGGTTGAAGTCTTTGAATATTTTCTTATTTGCTTACATACCTTTGTCTTATAGAGAAGGAAATGTGGATCCAGAATATATAAGTTGGGGAGTAGATATGGAGCCAGTTATTGCAGGACGTTCGGCCATACAAATATATTCAGATTTCTTGGCTTCTTTTAGAGATAATCTTCGCGAATTTCTTGGCGATGTAATTGTGCAAGTCCAAATTGGCTTAGGTCCTGCTGGTGAGTTGAGATATCCTAGTTATCAATTGAATCGTTGGACCTTTTGTGGCGTTGGAGAGTTCCAATGTTATGATCGCTATCTTCTCTCAAGACTCGAACAGGCAGCCAAAGAAGTAGAGCACCCTGACTGGGCTCATCCACCATATCCTTACGACGTCGGCAACTACAACAGCAGACCAGAGCAGACGTTGTTTTTTAAAGAAGATGGTGGCATTTGGAATACTCAATATGGTATTAGTTGAGTTCGATAATGTTTTAGAGCCTTTTCTAACATTCTCGTATGCAGGAGACTTCTTTCTTCGATGGTATTCGAAAGAAATGATTGAGCATGCCGATCGTATACTTCAAGTTGCAAATGACGTATTTTTTAATGATAAAATTCCCGACTCTAATTGGAAAGGAAAGGTTCGCTTAGCAATTAAGATAGCTGGCGTTCATTGGAATTTTCGTTCCAAGTCACATGCTTCAGAGCTCACTGCTGGTTACTATAATACTCGTTTCCGAGATGGATATACTCCTATATTTCAAATCCTAAAGAAGTATGACACAACTGCGGTTTTTACTTGTACAGAAATGCGCGATAAGAATCAGCCGCAGGATTGCAATTGTTCTCCAGAAGATCTTGTGGTAAGCGATACTTTTGGTTTGGAGTGTTTTTTATTATAATTTGTATAGGGACTGATTGTACGTGCTTCTATTGCAACCAATGTTTCATTTGCTGGAGAAAATGCAGTGAGTTTTTATGATGCAGATTCTTATCGACAAATTTCATTGGTGGCACGTTCTTACTCAGTTGTGAGAGGTAAGAGGTAGATGATCCTTGAGAAGTGGACTTTCTATGTGAAATATTAGGAATCCCTATGGAGGCAATGACCTATTTGAGATGGCCTGAACCTATAACTATATTCATGGGAGATAATTTTATAACTCCGTTGGGTCAAAAATTTTTTGAGTTTGTTCGAGTCATGGGAACAGATGATGCCATCAGTCATGTGATTCCTGTGTTTTGAACAAAGAAGAGATCGACTTTTTCGTATTTGTAATGGTTTTCTTAGCAATAGAAGATATACAGAATAATCGTATTCATGAGATTGTATGTAGTTAGATCAAAGGATAAAATTGCTGCAACATTAAACGCGTGGGTATCCAAGCTGGAAATGTTGTAATCTCAAAAGAGATTGATTTCGGAATTTTCAAAACTATACTTATTCACTCTTTACTTCTTACAATGATACTAGAAATATAACAAACGCAAGATTTCTTGACCATGACAATCTTTGAGTGGTAGAGTGGCACAATTCCATTCTCGATGTTTAGCTTTTTCTCAGAAACTCCTTAAAAGATAGTGTAGAATTATTCAATAATTTCAGTATTGAGACATTGTATTTTGTCCTCTTTAGAGAAAATGAATAATCAACCATAAGCGAGTGATGCCAAAGGAGAATCCTCGTATCACCTCAACTCTAAGCAACGTATTGAAATGCAGAAAGTGCATTGTATCTTATAAGCAAGATTTCATATGTGTCTCAAATTGCTTTAGAATGTCACACATATGAAATATATAGGATCAATAAAGAAAGGTCAATATGCAAACTTTTCTTTATTTGGAAGCTCTTATAAAGCATCATATGAACTTGTTTTCACTTTTAACGAGTGAGTAGTATATTGCATGATATAATATATATATATATATATATATGAATGAGCATTCGATAGCGGTGAAAGTCTACAGCTGCAACTATTGGAAGAGAAAATTTGTGGAATCGGGCATGTTGGCGGTCAACTTTTACAAATATCTCTTATTAGGAATACTCATTTTTTTGCCTAATATATCTTTTGGAAAAGTGACACGAGCTTTTGTGTTGTCTTCCAAACTACCCATTTTTGGAATGGAAGACAAGGCCCTCGAAAAGGAAGACGTCTGTTGGCAAACTCTCTCTCAAGGTACAACCAATTTTGATAAACCGGCAAAGAAACCTAGGCTCGTATTCACTCTGAATCATAACTTGGCAGACGTATCCTCTGCAAAGGTCTTACCTGGTCTTAGAAGACACGGTATAACTGCACTGTTTCTAGTCGACTCTTCTTCAATTGTCTCCAACGAAAATATTCTACTGAATATAGTTGAACAGGGACACTATGTTGCTGTAAAGAACATATCAGAGAATGCTTCAAAAGAGGAACTTATCCGAGATTTGGAAGTTTATTATCGTGTACTAGAACATTTGCCTCTATTCATTGCTCAAAAATCAATGATCACGGATCCTGTGGAGTTTCCAGTAAGAATGATGCCAATATATGTCGATGAATATGACGGTAGAACCATTTTACTGGAGAGAGAAGGTGACTTTGATGATGCTATTTCGCAAGTTTTAGAAAGTTCATCAATCGTAACTCTTGAAAAGATGATGAACCTTGAGCAGCTTAAATGTAATTATCAAAGACTTGGTTGTCATTGTCCCGAAACTCGTAACGGCATATTCAGCAAGTGGTGTACTAATATAGAAGACGAGCTTACCTCAAGATATATCAGTTTTGCTGAGTATGTTTCATTCGAAGGAAGTGTTACCTCCCAAAGAGTTAAAGACTGGCTCAATGATGTGCATTTCTTTGTTCAAAGAAACTCTGAAAAGCTGGAAAGTTTATATGAAACATGGAGATATGCAGACACAGTTGCAGATTCAACATCTATTATTCACTTGTGGCCAAAGAGAAAAATTCATCCTATCCATTCTGTGAATTCTTCTTGTTTAAGGAAATTTCTACAAAGTCACAAACAAAATTACAAAATCAAGGACATAATTTATGATGTGCACACCTTGATAGATGTTATAGCTTTGTTGATCATCATCATCATCTCGCTACTCCGGTTTAGAAAAAACTATTTCCTGATAAAGAAGCGAGACTAAGTTTCTTTGAAATGGATGGAAGGTTCCACTTACAGAGAAGATGGTATTTATTCTTGCCAGGCTCTAGCAAAAGTTCTCTCGAACTCGCTAGTTAATGTTGTTATTATCTTGCAGTATTGCTGTCTGAAGCATACAAAGAGGCTATTGATTACAACTTATTTTTGTCATAGCGACATCAACTTACACAGAACGTTTTGGACAATGATTGACTTCAAATTCCGTGCGACTAGCAAGTTGTTCTTAATCGGCTCAAACAAGTAAGAATGTCGAACAGGGAGACTTATTCAAGCTTCTACTACGTAGTTGTTGCAATATACTTCGTCCCAAAATGTATTCAGCGATATCAGCATTTCTATTGACATATGCTTTGCGTTGGTCTGTTCGTCAACTTCCTCCTCCGAGATAAAGTTTATCTTTGCATCTGTTTAGGACAGAAAAACGGGAAAGTATAGGAGACCTCTGTCGCAAGATACTACCAGTGTTTTCTCTATCATATTGTTTTTGAGGAGACGCCCTAAATCATTCTAACTACCAAAGTGATGAGTTATTCTTAGTAAGTATGTTTCGGAACTGTTATTGTTTGTTGAGATCATATAACAACTTGTATAGGACTGTAATAAAACCTTATCAACTATGAAAGCAAAGGCTACCATGACATCATTCTGGTCTTCTTTAAGTCTTGATATTTGATGTATAGAAAGAAATAAACTCAACGATGCATCGAACGTAGACTACTTTGTAAAATAAAATTCAAGGGAACGCTTCCATTTAGTGCAAGAGCACCTCTCTAAGCTTAACTTGTTTATTTGTTATAGAAACATTGGAATAGACACGCTAAAGGGATAGTTCCAGCCTATCATTCTTGCTACTAAATGGTAGAGAATGATTATAGAAATAATAGTCATTGTGAGCATAAATCGAACGGCGTGGAACAATCGTCTAATGGACAAGGGGCTGGCAAAACGACTTTAAAGGGTTTAAGTCAAATGAAGAGCAGAGGAGAGAGTAATTCTCCTTGGACGGTAAAAGGGCGTCCGTTCCATTGTGACACTTAACTTGTATATAATGAAGTTTCACATTGGCACTTGGCAACCTAACCGTCTTCCCACAAAAGAAGAATGGAAATCACTTTTGTTTTTCATCTTTCGTCTTTTAATATCAAGGAAGTCTCAGAACGCTCTTCGAGCTGCAATAGCAGCAGCGGGAGTTTCAGTTACCATCTTTTTTGCTGTAATGAGAAGTCATATTTTATGTTTTGCAAATATTCTGGCCTACGTGGTACTAGTAATCACTGCAAGACATCCGCATATTGGTGCTGTTTTCCAAGCCAGTATTATCATGTCATATGCAAGCTTGATAGCTTCAATTTTTGGTCTTGTTGGTTTGGCGATGGCTGATAAAAGTGGAGTCGCACTTTACTTTATTGCTGTTGTACAGGCGGCTATTGCAACTATTCTTCGTACCGACACTGACCTTACAGTGAATGGAATCGGTATCAATATCAACTTTATCTTTGGTGCTATCGAAATATTCTACGTGAAGACACCACCGTCCGATGCTTGGCATAGAACCTATCCAACCCTTTTAGCGGGACAGTTGGCAGCAGTTGCTTCTTTTCTTTGTGCTTTAGTCATATTTCCTCTTTCAGCTAAAACTGCTCTGAAGAAGGGACTTGCACAGTCAGTTAGAGAAACAAGTGAACTTGTATCAGAGATAGCGACATTACTCACAAACTATGAGGAAGGGACTGATACAAGCGTTCCAGGGGTTGTAGAGAAATGTTATGCTATTCGTTCTTCTTTTACAGAAACTCGAGCAATGTTATCTTATCTTCCATTTGAACCAAACGTTTATCCTCCTTGGCAGTGTGAACCTGATGAAGCATGGAAAAAGTTAGTTGATGAAGCGGAAGACTTACTTTTGAAGGTAGAATCCATTGCAGGAGTTCTCAGGAAAGGGAAACATTTCGCTGTATCTAGTTTCAACTTGGAATTCGGAGAGTCTCTTGTTTTACTTTGTGATTTTCTAGACAGAGCTCATTTACGGGGACTTGAAATCGCGAAAAAAATCGAAAGTTATCCCAAGGTACCTCTGGAAGAGAAAGTGAGTCTAGTTAGTTATCGAAAAGAAGAGTTAAATAGACACATTCTGCGTGCACGACATATGCAGTGGCGGTCTGCAGATTTTTATCAAAATAATGAACCAGAGACTCCAGCTTTTATTTTTGCATCACTTATCTTTGTGATATTCAATGCGCGTTCAATAGAACGTTCTTTATATCGTCTCAATGATGGTTTAAACCACTTGATGAATGAGAGAAGAAGGCTACGCGTTGCACCTCTTCGAAACTTCTTTCGTTGGTATCCATTGTTATTGAAACCATTCAAGGCCTGGGCGAGGACTCATAAGCTTCTTGCAGTTCCAGACAATGCAAAGTTTTTATTCAAATATGTTCTTTGCGTGGCGATTGTTCTATTTCCCACTCTGTTTGTCGCTCAATTTTCTGAAAGTGATTATTTTTTTACGCAGCGTCACAACGCTATATCTGCCTATATTGTGGTAACCATTCTTGTTATGAGGGGAATTGAGATGACTATGTTTCGAGTTTTTTTATATTTTACTGTTACCTTTGCATCTTGTGGACTAGCTTATGCTTTAACAGTCATGGCACCAACAGATCAGTATATAATTGACTTTTGGATTTTCATTTGGACTTATGGAGCTCTTTTAATTGCTTCTATCAATCCTGATTACATTATAGTAACATTTCCTTTCTTATTAGCGCAATATTTTATTATTGCTTGTCAGTATGGAGATGGGTTTACTTTTATCTATGCGGCATCGAGAGCCGTCACTGTTTCCATTGGTTGTTTTATAGTTGCGATAGTTTGTATGTTTATTTGGCCGTATAGAACTACGGATGAAATCAGAAATAATCTAAGGGATGTTGTACTATTAGAGACAAGTTTAATTGAGGGCCTTACAAAGCTATTTCTTGATATGAATACGCGGGGACTTTCTGAAACTAGTTGGAAGGAATTGGGAGGTGAAGAACTGGATGAGAAGATTCACCGTGCCGAGCAGCGTCTGATGGTTACAAGAATTCGATACATTGTCGATTTGACTCCCAACTATAGAGAGAGCTCTATTCCCTTTGGACTGAATGTATGTTTTAGTATTCTTCGTCGCGTGATTGTATTTCGACAAATTATTAGGGCTCCTGCAGAAATCACTGGGAATTATACAACTGCAGCTTATGACCTATTTATAAAGCATCTGGAAACGGAGTTGTTTGATATGTTACGTACAGTGAAGGAAACTGGAGACTGTATTTCTGAGAGACTTGGAAAATCCCGTATTCATCGTCCACCACCGAATGAAATGATTGTAAAAATGGAATCTTTTGAAGTTGCATTGGATAATTTTCTTGACAAGTACCGCAAAGTAAGACAGGACTTGCTGGACAGATGGCAGGAGTACTTCTTGGCTGTAGATATTGGAGAGGAAGACTCCACTTCAAGTCTCTCAAGTCCTCCCGGATTGCCTCCTGATGACTCTGTTCGTTTTCTTGCATGGATATATTCACTCATTCTTCTTGTTGATACTTTGTTGAAAGTGAGTCAAGAAGTTTCACAATTGAGAGTAGAGTCGCATCGTAAGAGAATTCGAATGATAGACTTTTTCTTCAGAAGGTCACGAAAGAAAGACGTTGTTTTAAATGATCCGTCTTCTGTTCAAGTTGTCGCAGAAGGTGTAAAGGGGAAAGAAAGAAATGTTAGTGAAGATCGTGGAGAGAATAAGTCGAAAGGTGATCAAAGTGAAAGAGAAGAAAGTTACTATCAATCATAGTTCCTTACATTTCACTGATTCCTTATAAAGCTTTTTGAATTTAGAATGCCTGTTAGGCAAACTCATTTAATAGCCTTTTCAATTTTCTTCGAAAGAGACGACGACGTGTGGTGAATGTCAAGAAACTATGAAAGAGCACGGCTTTGGTTTTGTAACTCTCATACCACCAAAACTCACAGCTCCTTTTTCAGTCCGACGGACTTTGCACTGTTTGACTGTGAGAAGAAACGTGCGCCAGTTTCATTCTCGGAAAGGGTTCTTGATTACTCTCGTGTCCCAACAGAGTCCTGAGTGCACTTACTTGAAAATAGGTGGCATAGAAACGGTCACTGTTCCAGAAATAAACAACCTGACTGGTACCTTGGTTCTTCCTGGATCCAAGTCACTTTCTAATCGAGTATTGTTGTTGAGTGCTCTTGCTAAAGGAACCACGCTGGTCGAAAATTTACTTGAGAGTGAAGATGTATCTTATATGCTTGAAGCACTTAAGCTTCTAGGAGTTAAAGTAGAATACGAATCAAAAGTATGTTTCTATCTCTATTTGCTTGGCCTTTCTCATATATCTTCTAGGAAAAGAAGGCACGGATAGAAGGTTGTGGAGGTCCTTTTCCAGCTTCGACAGGCGAATTATTTCTTGGAAATGCAGGAACTGCTATGAGGCCTTTAACAGCAGCACTTTGTCTCGGTGATGGTGAATTTGTGCTAGACGGAGTAAAACGAATGAGAGAGAGACCCATAGCGGATTTAGTTCAAGGCCTACAACAACTTGGAGCACAAGTGACTTGTAGCGATACTGGTTGTCCACCAGTACATATAAAGGCAAAGGGCTTAAGGGGAGGAAAAACGATTGTTAGTGGAAAGATGAGTTCACAATTCTTATCCTCTTTGCTTATGGCTGCTCCTTATTCAAAGAATGATGTTGTCATTGAAATTCAAGATGAGCTTATTTCTGTTCCTTATGTGTCGATGACTATCGAACTCATGAGACGTTTTGGTGTGACCGTTGGAAACGAAGATTATCGAGTTTTTCGTATAGCTGGTAATCAGTGTTATTCTTCCCCTGGTTCTTATTTTGTTGAAGGAGATGCTTCATCTGCTTCTTATTTCCTTGCAGGAGGCGCCATTACTGGAGGTCCTATAACAGTAGAGGGTTGTGGAAGTGATTCTATTCAAGGAGATATTCGATTCGTTCATGTCTTAGAAAAGATGGGAGCAACAGTTAGTTGGACACCTCATTCTATTACAGTTTCTCGTGGAAAAGGCAAGGTATTAGAAGGCATCGATGAAGACTGCATAGATATACCAGATGCTGCAATGACTCTAGCCGTGGTAGCTCTATTTGCTGAGGGACATACTGCACTGAGAAATATTTATTCATGGAGAGTGAAGGAAACAGATCGTCTTGCGGCAATGTCTAAGGAGCTGATGAAGTTGGGAGCTGCAGTTATGGAAGGTCAGGATTATATTGTGATTTATCCACCAGGAGGTGGAAAAATTCGTAAGAACGTGACAGTATCTACTTATAACGATCATCGCATGGCCATGTCCTTATCTTTAGCAGCATGTGGAGGTTGTCCTATCACTATAGAAGATCCGAAATGCACATGGAAGACTTTTCCAAGTTACTTTGAAGAGTTGACACGTTTAATACGCTGAATGTTGAATAAACCTTCAAGCGGCTCTGAGATACCGATAAATTCTTACACACACACACACACACACACAGAGAGAGAGAAAATACACAAGTGCTCTAAACGAAATCAGTGATTCGTCGACTTGTGAAAGATAAAATTGCATTTTCGCAGAGAATGAGTTTGAGGGCCTTTTACTTTTTACGCTGTCTGGTTTTGGTGTGTCAGAAACCGTTGAAAAGTAAAAAAAGAGACAGTTTTTATAAATTATCTATCTGGAATCATAGTGCCAGACAGAGAGATTCGAGTGTGTCACGGTGTCAGAACGGCTCTACTCACTGTATTGCGTTGTTACCTTCTTCATTCTCTTTTTACCTAACACAGCAGAGATTACTTTGTAGTTTGGTTTCACAAGAAAAGCACTATAGTAATACCGTCGAAGGAAATAGCCAAACAAGAAAAATTGAAACATCTGAGTGGGAGTCTGTAAGAAGCGAGCTTCGTCGCACTCGTATTGACTTGTGCTCTGAAAGCGGGTCGTACATTGAACTCAACGTAAGTTTTCTCTTTTTTGGTGAAAAGTTCAACCAAATTGTACTAGACTTGTCCTTTATGTGCAACAAACGCAAAAAGGAGATTGCTGCCCCGCATCCATAAGATAGATGGCAGCTTTCATTGTTCGACTTGTGACGAGACTTACTCGAATTCACAGCTTTTAGAAAGATTGAAACTTTTGAATGGGACGTTCTCTCCTGCTCAAGAGAACATTTTGTTTGACAGGACTGTAATTGACTCCAACTGGTTGATTGAGTTCGCGAAAGATTCAATCAAGAATTTGGAAGAAAACAAGGAAATGATTGCCTCTCTTGAAAAATCTGGATTATCATTCCGGATATTAAGAGATTTTGAGGCTGGCTTGGCTCGCTTTCGCAGAAACTCTGATAAAAGATACGACGATTTCCTAGTCTTCCCATTAAGAAATGAACGACTTGAACTTGTTGGAGTGAAATGTAGACGAATTGAACGATATGAAGACGTTGGTTACTATAGATTGAACTCTTCGTTTGGTTTGTTTGGTTTGCATTTAGGAAATGAGCACCAGGATTCCGTGATAGTATCGGAAGATGAAATAGAAGCCATGAAGATTACTGAATCTTGTGGTATGGTTGCAGTGTCATTACCTTGTGGCATTGACTACTTTGGCGAAGATGTTATTCGATGTCTTTCTATATATTCAAAAGTTTATATTTGGTTTGGAAATGAACCTTTGTACAAGGAGCGTGCTTGTGTATTGGCTAAGAAACTTGGTTTGATGCGTTGTTATGTCATATCACCTCCGGAGAAGCTTTCCGCAGGAGCAGAACGTCCTAGTGACTTGATTCGAATGCAAGTACCTTTGACTCCATTTATATCGATGGCTGAGCCTGCTGTTCAACCAAAATATATTTCGGACTTTTCCGATTGTCGCAATGATATTTATAAGACCTTAGCGCATCCAAAGGAAAACTTGTTTCTGGCAACAGACTGTTATTCCCTGACAAACTTTTCGCGATTTACAAAGGGATTGCGAAGAAATGAAGTTTCTTTGTACGTCGGAGAAAGCGGTGTGGGAAAATCCACGTTTCTGTCTCAGTTAGTTCTCGACTATTGTCGGCAGGTATGTTTTGAACATCAAATTTGTTGAAATAGCTGATATTCTGTAATACTTTCAGGGTATCCCAACATTATGGTGTTCGTTTGCGTCTGATCAATCATTTATTATGAAAACGATGTTAGAGCAATTAGCAGCAGTTGACAGCAAAACGCTTGTTTCGCATTTTTCACGTTTTTCTTCGATATTCGAAAGCCTTCCACTTCATTTTGTTAATTTGAGTAATCGGGAGGATATTGAATTTTTAGAAGAAGCTATTGCGTATGCTCAGCAAATGTGGAAGGTGACCCATGTGGTAGTTGATAATATCAATATACCCAGATATTTTAGAGGTGACAAGTTAAACTGCCCGAAGGAAATGCTGGAGAAGACTCTACATTTATTAAAACATGTGACTGTAACCAACAACATTCATATATCGGCAGTCACTTTACCTTGGATAGAATCGTATTGCCATCGTGGAATGGACGTTCAAGTGACTGAGCTTTTTGGCTCTTCGTCAGTCGCTTTAGAAGCAGACAACGTATTCTTTATCAAGCGTACATATCCAGCGGAAAACTTGGATACTTGTAGAACGATATGCATTTTAAAGCATCGTTGGGATGGAAACACAGGTACCATCAACTTGAAACAAAATGTAGAAACGAAACTATTACAAGATGTGAAGCTTGAATACTCCAACGTTCAGATCAACTCTCCAAGCGAACAAAATTCTTCGAGTGTACTTCTAACTGACCATTATTCATTACATTCTCAGGATAGTTTGGCTGAGCCATGTGTGGATGATTTTGATAAGGAACTGATTGAGGTGAATATGACTGCCGGAGATTTGGCAGAATGGGAGAGACTGTTGGATGTTCGAGACTAATGCTTTTGTCAGTTGTTTAAGGACAGCTAACCTGTGAGTATTGTGGAAACTAACAGTGCTACCTACAACGTGCTTGTATCTGGAGTTAATACAGACAGAGCCGTTGAATAGTTATGAAGAGGGGAATATGTCATTCTTGCAGTCGTGTACAAAAAATGAATAAAGTAGCCCTTCCTTGTTGATTTCAAAGTTTGCTAAGAATATTCAAGTGAAAAGTGAGAATTTTACTGAGAAATAGTTGTTGACGTAGTTTTGTGCACGCTATATTGGATAGGAACTGGGTAACCGTAGTGACTCGACTTCCTTTTATTGCCAAAGCAATCATTACAAAAGCAGCTTGTTAGAATGAGCTTGAGTACTTCACAATTCCTTTTCCAAAGACCTTCAACCAAGACTTGTAAGGATAGAATACTTGAGCATTATTTCCAGTGACGTACAGAGATATACATAAGATATTTCAAGCAATAACAACAAGGTTTCCAAGGTCAACAATGAACAACCGACCTTAAAATCTCTGCAGCTTTCAACACAACCCGTTTATTAGAGCAAACGGAGACAAAGTGGTGCTCATTTCTTCTTATGGACTCGAAAATCACTCATCCATCCGTCCTACATTATTTGCTTTGGGAAGTGTTTGTGTTGGCGTTGGTACATTTAACGAACCTCCTTCCCCTTTCAAGTCTAGTCTTGTAACTGTTCAAAACTTTGTGCATTTGTTCGTTGAGAGGGAGTAAGTTTATAGACAACACTAGCTTGAAGTGATACTATGTTGCGTCTCGGTGGATCGCTGTCGTTGAAGGCCATAAGAACGGCCGCGCAAGTAAGCAGTAATTTGTGGTGTTTCAAACGATCTTGCTAAGCTTACAAAAACTCTAGCGCAATGTACTTCCTGAGGCTACAGCAGTTATGGGCGACAAACCCCTTCGGAAGCTTCACCAGTCGGTCAGTTCTTCGAGTGTTCTACCAGGCCCCGCGGAAGTTAGTTCGGTTCTGGAAGACCGTATCAGCAATTATTATGCCAAGGTGAACGTTGATGAAGTTGGAAAAGTGCTCGCAATTGGAGATGGTATCGCAAGAGTCTACGGTTTAAACAATGTGAGGGCAGGAGAAATGGTGGAGTTTGCTTCGGGCGTCAAAGGAATGGCGCTCAACTTGGAAGCAGACAATGTTGGAATTGTCGTATTTGGAAATGATAGAGAAATCGCAGAGGGTGATGTTGTGAAGAGAACTGGTGCGATTGTAGATGTTCCTGTTGGTATGGGAATGTTGGGGCGAGTGGTAGACGCTTTAGGAAACCCAATTGACGGGAAGGGTCCTCTGAAAGATGTCAAGAGAACTCGTGTAGAAGTGAAAGCTCCAGGAATTATGCCCAGACAAGGTATTTACCCCCCAAAATAGGATAGAAACAACTTTTTGAACATTCCCTGAAGGTGTCAAGGAACCTATGCAGACAGGACTAAAGGCAGTGGATGCCCTGGTCCCTATTGGAAGAGGCCAGCGAGAACTTATTATCGGAGATCGTCAGACAGGCAAAACAGCTGTAGCTATAGATACTATTCTCAATCAAAGACAAGCTTTTGAATCAGGAGACGATAAGAAAAAGTTATACTGTATTTATGTTGCTATTGGGCAAAAGCGTTCTACTGTAGCGCAAATTGTCAAGTCTTTGGAAGAAGCAGGTGCACTCAAGTTTTCTATAGTTGTAGCTGCTACAGCTTCTGATGCGGCACCTCTGCAGTTCTTAGCACCTTATTCTGGTTGTGCCATTGGAGAGTATTTTCGCGATAACGGAATGCATGCCCTGATAGTCTATGACGACTTGTCCAAACAAGCAGTTGCCTATCGTCAAATGTCTTTGTTGTTGAGACGTCCTCCAGGGCGTGAAGCTTACCCTGGAGATGTGTTTTATTTGCATTCTCGTCTCTTGGAAAGGGCTGCTAAAATGTCAAATGCTCACGGTGCTGGTTCTTTGACAGCTTTGCCAATTATTGAAACACAAGCTGGTGATGTGTCAGCATATATTCCAACTAATGTGATTAGTATAACTGATGGTCAAATCTTTTTGGAATCAGAATTATTTTACAAAGGTCAGAGACCTGCAATTAATGTTGGATTATCCGTTTCTAGGGTTGGTTCTGCAGCTCAACCCAAATGTATGAAGCAAGTCGCAGGTTCCATGAAACTGGACTTGGCACAGCACAGAGAAGTTGCAGCATTCGCTCAGTTTGGTTCAGATTTGGACGCCTCAACTCAACAATTATTGAATCGTGGAGATAGATTGAATGAACTATTGAAGCAAGGTCAATATAGTCCTATGCCAGTAGAAGAACAAGTGGTTTGTTTGTATGCTGGAGTTCGTGGATACTTTGACAAGATCCCAGTCTCTGCTGTTCGCAAGGCTGAGGAAGAATTTCTGGAGCTAGTACGAAATAATCGCAAAGATATCTTGGATAGCATTCGAAAGGAGTTATCGCTGACGGAGTGGGCGGATAATGAGTTGAAGAAGACTATTACAGGCTTCTTGGAAACCTTTAAGCCCTAAGTTGGAATTCTAGTTACTCTATTACTACTTGGTCATTTGTTCTCTACTTGGTTGCAAGATGCAACAATATTTCGTTGTGATGGTTTTTGTGGTTCAAGTCAATAAAGGTTCTTTTGCCATGATAATTTGTTTACATAGTTTGAAAATCCAAGTTTCCTTTCTAAAATAGAAGTTATATTTTCTTTTGATGCTCGAGAACCAGTTGTTGAGCTGTCGATGAGTCTTGTTTCGTAACCTCTCTAAGAAACATGGTTGCATATTCTGACGACGCCAATGTAAACTGCAAAACCAAAGCTGTCATTTTCCTTTTGCATGAGTTGGAATCTTGCGTTTGTTTCCTATCCAAAGGAACTTGGGTTGAAAACAACTTTTCTTCAATATCAGTTAGAGACTGATTGGGTTCATCATAGTCCATAAAATGATATTCGACCTGTTTAGGGATAGAAATGAGCTTTCTATAACCTCCTCGAAATTGAAATTCTTGAGACTATTTACATATCAATGACTTTTACACTATTATCAATATCTGAATACTTACTATTGTGGGTAAGGATTGAAAGTCAATGGAATGCTCTTCCAATAGAGACATTGCAATTTGTCCACATTCATTTTGAGGCCATTTCATTTGAGTTCCTACCAAAGGTAGATACACCTGAGTTATTGGATATTTCTTCTCCAATGCTTCCTCTTCTGATACTATCTTTATATTTTTGTCTAATATCTCGGATGACTCTACAACATCCAAATCTTCATAGTCTGCAATAGACTCCATATCACCTTCTGTCGAAACGGAACGATTGTTTTCAGTTCGTAATGAATCCTGTACGGTTTGATCAAGAACCAAATCACCAGCCATAGCAAATTGGCGATCATACTGACTATCCATTCGAGCACTTGCCATTGCATTCCATATATAGCTTTGAACTGCATGGACATACATCTTCTTCAAACCCTTTGGCAAAGAAGAAAATGCTCCTTTATGGTCATTTGGACCGTTCTTCATATATGTGTTCAGTAACTGTCTCTCAATAGTCATAAATCGAGGTAAATGAGAGTAAACTTGTCCTGCATTCAGCTGACCTTGACAAAATTGATGTAAGTATTCCATTATCTGTGGACGGTCTTTCTTCCCGTGATGAGACTTTACGGAGATACTTTCTCCAAGTATTTCGGATGCATGAATGGCTCTCCATTCAGGGTCATACGGAGTAAGTATCAATCGATTCACTTGTTCGAAATTCCCACGCAATATTTCAAAACCTACATGATGGCTAGGAATTGCCCCACTTCCAAAGCGTTGTAAGCCAAAATAGTTGATAAATCCATTCATTTTCACTCTTTCAATAGCTTCCTTTATATTTTCTAGTTGACGAGAATCTGTATCTTCACAGTCTAATACGTTTCTTAATATCACTGTAAAGCGGTTTCCTTTCAATTCTCCAAGATGCAATGGCTCCTTGCAATACTTGAAACGTCCAATACGAATATGGGATGATTTGCCAAGATAACTATGGCCAACTTGCCACAACCTTTCCATGGTTACTCCACGTACACGCATTTCTTGTGTTGTTATGCCACGCTTGTCTTTTGTTCCAGCAAAAGAGAAACGACCAGTACGAATATGCAACAAACTAGCAAGTTTCGAAACGACATAACTCGTTTCCGTATTCTTCTTGCACAATAGAAACGACAAGAACTTGTTCTCTTCCAAGTTGGAATCACTTATTCTTCTACGTCGTTTGTTTGGTGTAACTGCTGAACTACGTTCGAGAAGAATTTTTGGTGATCCATCTGTCGATACCGTCTCTGTGACTATGCCTTTGAAACTTCGAAATAGCTGATGTATTTGCCTTCGTTCTTCTTTATCCAAAATAGGCTTTGGAAGAATCAACTCTTTCAAAGAATCTTGTTCATTTTCTAAAGAGTTGCTCTCTTCAGTAGCAACAAAATCACGTACTTTATTCATAAGGCTTGGTTCATACCACTTGAATGTCAACAAATAAGTAAAAAGAACGTAACAGCCTAGTGTACTTACCTTTTCCAATTGTTCCAAAGCACTTTGTGTACAAGTTTCATTTTCTACTTGCTTTTCTCTTTCTAACGCATCAGGTTTCTGCAAATCTTCCTTTTCCAATTGCAGTACGTTGCCATCGACGCTAACCTTGACAAAAGTTAGGAAAAACTTGATATCCATTTAACTTACTTCATTGACAATAAAATCGGAATACAAGTGTCTTACTATGGCTGTAAAGCCATTGTGTTCGGACACAAAACGTCGAATGAACACGCTTTCTTCAGTTACTGAATTCATTCATACGTCTTTGATTTCAACCTGAGTCATAAGTTATGCATAATGATTTCCATTTTACTTGTAATGTCTTCTCTTTATCCATTCACTTGTCAAAGAAAGGAATAATATGTTCATTTGTTGTCAGATAATAAGTTGGTATTCATTAACTTGTGATAGAACAACTTGACTATCACGATGAATAATGATGATTTTTGGGTTGGTGGACGAACCAACTCGAAGAAAATGAACTCGTCCAAACCACAGTGGGAACAAGTTGGTGAAGCTTTTGTTCAACACTATTACAATACCTTTGACAGTTCTCGATCCAACCTCGGTCCTCTATACGTAAGAAAAGTTATTTTTGTGTAACTGAAACTAACAGTTGTGGATCTCTAGAGGGAAAACTCCATGCTCACTTTTGAAGGAGAGAAGTATATGGGCGTTCAACAAATCGTTGGAAAACTTTCGGTAAGTGGTTTTCTTTATAGTATTTTCATATGTCGGCACAAGTTGATGATGGAGTGTTTCCTATTGCTAACAGAGTTTAGGCTCTTCCTTTTCAAAAGGTGCAACACCAGATAGTAACTTGTGATTGTCAACCAACACAGACACAACCTAGTGGAATTTTGGTGTTCGTTAATGGTAATCTTCTAGTCGATGATAGTCAAAATCCGCTCAAGTTTTCGCAATGTTTTTATTTACTTCCTGACTCTACCAACGCCGCAAGTTACTGGGTTCATAACGATATGTTTCGGTAAGTGCATCACAGTTTGTTTCGAAGATCCAAATAACTAGTGTGCTGTAAGTCTAAACTACGGTTAAAAGTCAAACATTTTTTGTGTTGCCTTTTCCATTACAAAATAAACACTGGTCGTTTTTGTTTCCATTTCTGAACAACGAGCTTGTCAAGACTTTTAATGGAGTTAACGACGTAACTTTGCTTCAATTTCTTCCAATGTCAAACCTTTTGTTTCGACGACTTTTTCATAGATGAACCAAATAGAGAAAAGACCAATCAATGCAAACTGTAAAAATAATCCACTCGTTCCAAACCATTCTCGTTCCCATTCAAAAGTGGAAGTCACCATTAGATTCATACCAAAGTTAATCAAAGTGCCAATGGCAAGTGAAGCTGAACGAACTCTTAATGGAAATATTTCACTCAACACTAACCAAGTGATCGGACCAAAACCAATTTGATAAGAACCTACATAACAGAATATACCGAGAACGATGGGAATCTGCAAGGATACTTCACCATTTCCAGAAAATAACCAGGCAAGCACAAATAATGTTACAGTTATTCCAGTTGAACCAATCAACAGCAAAGGTCGGCGACCAACTCTAAATGAAGAATATGAGTTTTCATTTCAGATACATATATTATACAATATCTTACTTATCTACAAGAATAGAAGATACAATAGTCATTATCAGTTTCCAAATTCCAAGACCGACAGCAGCAACAAAGCCAAGTCCAGTATCTTCAAATAAACGATTAGCAAAATAAAGTACCGATGGTTGACCAGTGATTTGTTGAAATGTAACCAAACTGAGAGCAACAAACAAAGGCTTCCTTGACTGTGGTGTGAGAAGTTCCGAATAAGAAAATACTCCATGAAATTCACTGGAATAAGAACCTTCTCTTATTGCTTGCGAAAGTAATATCAATTGTTGCTCTGCTGCTTGCTTATCATTTCTAGCTAGTCGAATGAGCGAAGATCTTGCACGTTCCATATAGGAACGAGACAAAAAAGATTCTGATACTTCTTCTGATGCTTGTGATGATTTCAATAGAAGCCACCTTGGACTTTCCGGAATGAAGAAAACACCCAGTAGAAAGGGGAGACAAAATATTATTCCTGAACCAAACATAAATCTCCAAGATAACCAATAATCTAAATGTGAAACGGAAGGTTCCCAAAGAGCTCCGACTAAATAACCAAATACCATTCCTGTAACAATAAATGCTTCCTTTAATGAGATTAAAAGTCCACGTTTATCGCTTGGAACACATTCAGCTATATATATTGGAGCTGCATGCATGGAGAACCCAATACCTGCACCAAATATGAGTCTGGCCAGAAACAATAAAGGTAAGTTAGGCGACAAGGCTTCCATAAGAGTTCCGATACTATATAAAATAGCAGATAACAGCAGTTCCTTTTTGCGACCAATGGAATCTCCAAACCGAAAGGCTAGTAAACTACTGCCTAAAGCACCAAATAAGGAAGCTGCTGCTATGAAGCCAAGAGTCAAGGAAGATAATTCACCAAAGGAAGAAGACTGAGATGCTTGAATATTTCCTAAAACCCTCAAAACAGAGGAAGTACATCCAACGTCATACCCAAACAAAAGGCAACCAATAGCAGGAAAGAAAAAAGAAGGAAACCAAGGAGGGAACCACTTTGAACGAAAGATATCTCTGGCGTAAGTTTCAGAACCTCCACTCGTTTGAAGTCCTCTATGTTCTTCTTCTGTGTCTTCAGAAACAGTTCCTAAAGGCTTCTTATTGAAGGGCAGTTCCATTCGAATCCCTACGCTCCTTTTTGTAGCAGTGAGGGGCTTGTGCGAAAGAAGACGGTAAAAAAAGTTGTATTTGCAGCAGTATATTTTTCGCGAATAAAAATATCTAGTCAAAGCTTTACAGTCTGGGCAGAAACGGCTCGAAACAAAGGAAGCTATTGTAACAAGGCAACAGCATGAATGCAGCTCGTTTCGTGGTGTGAGACACACTTTGGGCGATCTCTTTTCCATCAGCAATAGAATCTCACTGGCCAGAAAGGATTGCGACAGCGCAACAAATGATTACCTAAAACAAGTCCTAACAAAAGGACAAAATGACTGTTCTCCGATTAGAAAGGAAATTCATTAGACTTTAGTTCTATTCGAGACTTCCCTACACATGGGCAATATCTGTCATGCTAAAGATATTGTGATATCTATCAAAATGAATCTGTGAAAAATCAAAAACTCAATATTGAATGGAAAAATACGCAACATCTAACAGGATATCAACCTTATCGTCCAGATGACATCAAGTATCGGTTCAAAACAACTGAATTGTGAAATATATCGATAGCTCTCAAATTGGCTAAACAGTCTTCTTTAGTCGATGCAATCCATCCTCTCAATAGACCGTGACTCCTGTATCCAATCAATACGGAGTGTGAGTGCACTCTAGTTTCACCTCATAAAGAAAACTATTTCGTGGAATACTTTGATATTTGGTCATGTTATCACTGCTTAAAAATTGCAAAACAACAACATGTTCCGAAATTGAGTGAATATGTGTACCCTGCAACGATATTTTTTCGATATTACTTGCGAATAGAAAGCTTCCATCTGTTTGAGGAAAATAAGAAAAACAATCAACTAGTTTCGTTGCTACTTAGCCAACTGCTACTGACACAAAAATTCTCAACTAAATAAGCCAGCAGTGTAAGAATGCAAAAAATGAAGCCAATATCCAGCTAGTATTCCGCAAAAGCAACTATGCTGCAAATGTCTTTATCTCAACCAATAACAAACTAGTCCAACGAAGGGCATCACAAAATGTACCAAACAAGAGACTCTATTCCATTTCAAATTCCAACAAAAGAAGACTTACTTATGCATTCATATATGATGCAACGTCGATCTTGTCAGGAAGAGGCTCAATGGAGACTTCAAATCGGCTTTGTACCTCGTTCAACACGTCGTTATCTTCCTTAGAACTAATAAAAGATATTGCTAATCCTTTAGTCCCAAAACGACCCGCGCGACCAACTCGGTGAAGGTAAGCATCAGCTCCGGTCTTCGCTGTAGCTTCTGGGCCTAAAAGTAACTTAAAAAAACGAAAGCAAAACATTAAGTTAAACAAATTTACCTTTCAAATCCGGCATATCGTAGTTAATCACAATGTTTACTCTCTCGATATCGATTCCTCGTGCAAAAATATCCGTAGCCACCAGTAAACGTTTCTGGAAATCTTTAAACATCTGATATCGAGAGATACGCTCCGACTGTGCCATACTACTATGAATAGCAATGGAAGGAAAATTGTATTCTACCAATAGCTTATTGAGAGCATTAGCTCGCTGCACAGACTTCACAAAGATAACTACTTGGTTAAACTCTAATGTGTCTAGAAGATCCATCAACTTCCTATTCTTCTCTTGTTCTTCGAGTTTCAAATAATACTGCAACAAACCATGAAGGGTAAGCTTGGCCTCATCATCCACATAAACTTCCATTGGATTTGACAGAAATTTTTTACAAACATTTCGAATTTCCTTGGAAAGCGTTGCCGAAAACATCATCACCTGCTTGTTATGCGGAGTCATACGAAAAATCTCTTGAACATCGCGTCGCATATCGAGTTGTTCCAACATCTTATCACATTCATCAAGAACAAAAAATTGAACTGATGAAATATCCAAAGCTTTTCTACGTGAAAGGTCTAATACTCTTCCAGGTGTTCCAACAACGATATGAGGTGGAGACTGTTTAAGTCTATCTATATGTTGTTTGATTGGAACACCACCATAAAGAACAGCAGTTCTCACATTAGGAAGATACTTCGAGAATCGTTCAAACTCGTGTGCAATTTGGTAGGCAAGTTCTCTAGTATGACCTAAAACAACACAGCTAACTTTGCCATCTTCGGGTACCAGTTGGTGAAGTACAGCTAAAGCAAAGACAGCTGTCTTCCCCATACCGCTTTTTGCCTGACAAACAATGTCGCCGCCAAGGATAGCTTGTGGGATACACTGTTCTTGAACTTCTGAAGGGTGTTCGAAACCACAATCCTGTTATATATCTCCAATGTCAAGAAAGGTATCTTTTCAGAAGGAGGAAGACGCACCTGAATGGCTCGCAAAAGCTCTGGTTTCAATAGGAAATCCTTAAAACCTGTACTGTGAATCCCAACGTAACTTCCCCTAAATGCACCAAGAAAGAAAAGTGTTATTACAAGTTCCAAGAACGCCCCAGTTTAAAGAAGGGCAACATAAGGGTAGATACTACAAGAGTGAAGTGGCTTGGGTGAGACAGCGAACCTCAGTGGAACCACAAGAGTATTTGAAGAATCTCGAAAAAGCCCAACTCTAACGAAAGAATACACTCAACTTTCCAACACTTTGTATCATCGTGGCCAAGGTCTACAAAGCAACACCCAAAGACACACTTCACCAGTAGTGTCCAAGCCGGTCAACGAGTAGACAAGTGCCCTTTGCACTTTCAACTGCATAACGAGAAGGCTTTTCGACCTTCCACGCCACCATAACCTTAGTTTCCTCCCAGTTGACCCCAACGCCCTCGCGAATAAACAGACAAAACCGCTTGCTTACTTTTTGGATTCCTTTGTGGAAGCACTCTTTACTGCACCACTTGGCACGGAGGTTTCGTCCTCTTCTTCGTAATCTACAAGGTCCTCGTCACCAACAAGGTTTTCATTCTTTTTACCGTTTTCCATAACTGAACTATACGTTGAATCTTAATGCACGTTTCAACTATAAAAAACTTAAAAACAATTTGCCAAAGAATCGGCGCTCAAACAATTATTAAAGATGGGAGGCCACTCGAGGAAAGCTCAATATCCCAAACAAGTATGGCATCCTTTTGGAGGTTGGTTTCCTCATCCACGAAACTGGAAGAGGAACACAAATATAGCCACCCTCATCATGGCGCTCACCGTGATACCCATTATTTATTATGCGGAAAAACATACTGTAAGTAAAATTCCATAGAGCAAGACAAGTTCGAGTAACCCGTTTTCTTTAGACCTATTATCAGTACCCCTACCATAAAATTCCTTGGAGGCCCAACTTGAAAACTTTTGATGAAGATTTGGAGGAAAGAAGAAGGGCGAAGATGGAAAGCAAGGATCTTGGGAGTTCTGACGATCAATTGGATACATAGAACGAGCACAACTTAATCTGTTAGTTGGATATTGAGTTACTTGAGACTTTGTCAGTTCAGTTGATCCATGTAAAATTTGTTCTTCGTCAATTTCACTTTGGAAACTTTGAAAATAGCTTTAGAGATAAGTTAAAGTCAATTCCAATATTGTTTGGATATTATTAGATAATAACTTGTATCCATCGTCTATGAACATCTTGCTATCTATCCAACGTACTCATCATGAACTTTGTTTCTATCTTCTTCTGTTGAAGAGAGGGATTATTCTTTTGTGGGTTTTGATTGGCATTCTTCGATGGCAGAGCATAGTAGTGGTGAAGGCACAGAGGTGGGAAGTGCCTCAGATACAAGCCCTTGTGTAAAGGGTTGTGGCTACTATGGAACCTCTGCAACCTTAAATATGTGTTCCAAGTGTTATAGGGAACACGTACGTCAAGAGCAACAACGTCAAGTTGATTCCGTTTGTCAACAACAACAGCTTCAACAGGAGTCCTTGGATAAGGAAAGCACAGTAGAGAATGCAAAACATGCTTCAAGCAATCAAGAAGAACAAGTTGGTTCCCAACAGGTTACCAGTAGTACAGAGTTTCCCCTTAACACTCTTATGGAGCCTACTGATGTTTCTCAAGATTTGCTACAACAAAGTAGCAAGTCCTCACACTCTCCCTCGGAAGGTACAGAAAAGAAGAGTAACCGTTGTCAATACTGTCAAAAGAAAGTTGGCTTGACAGGTTTTACTTGTCGTTGCGGAAAGCTCTTTTGTGGTGACCACCGATATTCCGATAAACACGATTGCTCTTTTGACTATAAGGCTGAGAACAAGGAAATGCTAAGTAGGGCTAACCCCCAGGTTATCTCTGCTAAACTCAACAAGATATAACTATTTGGAAACTAACGTAAACCAACTTGAGAATAGTTAGCTGGAATCTGAAGGCCTTGAGAATTCTATATTTGTAAAAATATCCTTGATAGTACGAAACATTGATGATAATCGTGTTCTTTTAAGACTTGATTAGTTGATAGTCATTATGATTTGTCTCTAGATAAATTTCTATTACTTCTTCATCTATTATTATGACATTATTTGAAAAAAATAAGATCCAACTTTATCCGAACCAAGTTTCCTCTCTTGTATCCAACTTATATTCACTTTTTACGGTTTTTGGCTGTTGCAAGATCACTTTCGTGTTGTTTCAGTTGAAGCTTTGTTCTTTTCTCTTGGAGCATATCTGCTGCTTTCTTTTCTCCTTCTCGCAAAGAAAGCTTATTGTTGCTTAGATCGTTCAGCGCAATAATGGAACGGATAAGGGACGCTAGATATAAAACAAGCATAATATCATTCGTCTCAATCAAAAATGCTTTCATAACTTCAGGAGTAAACAACGTTGGTAAGACGTTGAATATTTCTTGAATAGCATAAAGTATCTCGTGATTTAAAGGAAGCTCTCCGTCAATTACAGACTTTAGATACATCTGGATATCTTTAAGTCTACTCTCCAAACTATTCAACGACAAAACTTTTGACTTTAGGTCATCAGAAAGAGTTGCAATCGTCGCATCCTTCACGTCACGTAATAAGTGACCTATACCGACCTGTTCAGCATCTGCTGAACCAAGTTCACTCGGTAAGTGACGAAAAGTACGCACTCTTGCGCCTTTGTCGTCTGTTGACTTGTTATCTTCTACAGGGTCCTCTACAGATATATATGCTTGAGTGGGGATACCATCTTCCTTGGGTTCCACGTCCACTATAACCAACACAGGGTTTGAACAATATCGTCGAAAGAGCTCATTCACATCAAGATCTGCGGGTCGAATTTTAGGACCAGTAGAATACCAACCTACGATGTATTCTCGAGCATTCACCTATTCAAAAGTACTTGAGATGCCACTCAAGACCTCGAACTGTTGTTACCTTGCGAAACATGGCCCACATGGACTCCAAAAAGTTGTGATCTAAAAACCAAACAGAAGAGTCTTGTTCCTCTTCTTCAAAAGGAACAGCAAAAGAGTTGGTACAGCTAACTTTTCCTTGGCTAATTGAGCCTAGCAGCACCCCAACTGCTCGCCTTTAAAGAAAGATTCAGTCCGAAATCCCACGACTCACTCTTCTTACTTGTTAGTATCTTTACAAACACGATTGTAGTGATCTACAACACCCAAAAGTACTAAAGGGTGTACGACAACACTAGTTGGAATCTTTGATACGACTACCATAGATAGGTTCCCAAATCTCTTTCCAAAAAAACGATCGTAACGTTAATTGTGTTATTTTCATAACAAGTCGAATGTGGACAGCAGTTAGTTTCAAAAACGTGTAAGTTACAAAGAATATCGTTTGTAAAGCAGCAAAATTATGTAGAGTATCTTTCGAAATTCTCTGGTTAGCTTTCCTATAGTAAGAAAATTGGGATTTGTTATGTGATTAGAAAGCGTTCCAATTCAAAGACTGTAGACTCACTCTTCCAAGTTGTTCTATTAAGCACTCGCTTGTTGGATAATGTAGATATGGAATAGGAACGGCTTCAACTAAAATGCCATTCTGCTTCATGCATGTCTTCAAGTTCTCAATGTATCCTAATAAAGCAAGATGATCTTGCTTTAAAAAAGAATTTTGTTGTCGAAGGCACTTTACTCTGTACACCAATTCCTCTAAACGTTCTCTTTGTTTTCTTCGCGACCGTTCAGCACTAAGCCTATTTTTAATGAGTCGCATTCGTTTTCGTTCTTCCTCGTCTATTTGTTCTCGCCTTTTTGTTCGTTGGGAAGTTCCTTCTTCTCCTACGTGTGACTCGTTCGAACCTTGTTTTGCAACTGTTGCTTTGATTTCTTTCGTACTTTTTTTAGGGTCTACACTTGTGGTGACTAGTTGATGTGGACTAGGAGTCTTTGTGGATTCTTGTCGAGACGAAAGACTACTTGAATGGCTCGAACTTGTCATAGAACTTCGTTGGATGCTATGTTCAGTAGAGAAGATTGGATAGTATCTACCTAGTCCTGCTTCAACTCTTGAGACCTTGCCATAATTGTCTGGGCGATCCTGAAAAAGATACCAGTCAACCTGTGTGCTCAGCTCATCTTGCGTCCACTCTGATCGTTCTTGAATCGTTGCGAAACTTTGTTGTGTACTGTCGTTCCTTTTGAGACCTGTCGTTTGAACCTTTTGAAACGAACTCTCTCCTTGAATTTCGTTCAGTTGTATAGAATATCTATCTTGTGCGTTGATAATCAAGCCTACCTGATCGTTGCTGTGAAAGTAGAGAATAAATATTCTCGAATTCTGAAATCTGAGTATTTCTTTCTGGATAAACACTTTTTTCTTTCAGTTGCTGATGATCGGGAAGCTCTTTGCTCGTTGTTGCTAACTCCTCATTTCTTGCTGACAGAGTAACATTGAGTATGAGTTTTGAAAATGGTTACTAGTTACCTTGTATAAGATATTGAATAGAGGTTCGCCTGTCATGCTCCATATAAGGGATATCGTTTTACAAAACTTTGTATTATTTTAGTTGTGAACCATCTATGGTTTCTAAACTTTTACAAGCTGTCGAGTTATTGCTACTGGTGACGACATTTTCTACTTTGCAGAATGTCTTCTTGACAAATTGATCAAACATCATTCATTGCGCCTCACATGAAAGCCGTATCGTCCCGGATAACGAAAACAAGAGGATCGCATCAAAGTGGATAAAAAGGCTCATCCGCTGCGCACCCGTCTGTTGAGGGTGCGTGTATTGGATGTATCCACCGAAACGGTCGTTGAGAAATTTGGATTTCTACTCTCGCCATTGTTTCGATATGATTGGCTTGTAAGAAACATTTCAACTGAGATACGATTCTGTTCTTCTATACATAAAAAGTGTCACATTTCTGTTTTATACAGAGTTTTTATTTTAATATTATTATCATGAATAACCAAATATATATATTCTTCAGTATGCCGCCGCCCTTCCCAACTTTCTCGGATCACTAGCAGCCAATAGTCGCCTATTATCACCATTCATGTCACTTGTAACTACAACGACTTGAACTACACCAGCTTCTGAAGGAGCCTTTGACACAAAACTGTTAGAATAAAAGGAAAGAACTACACAAACTCACTGTAATATTATGTCCAGCATCTTTCAAGTCTTGACAAACGTCGGACCAGTAAGACCAATCAGGCTATTATACCGTATGTTAGAATTCATTCGAATACCTCTACTAAATACCTTGTTTGATAAAGAAGTTGAAAAAGTATCGGTCAACTCACAAGAAGAACTGTTCAAAGACTCCAAAAAAACAGTATTTGGAAACAACTGATGGTGTAAACGAGGCGCCGCTATGGCCTAAAGAAATAAATAAATATAATGTTCAATAAGGAAAAGTTTCCTTACCTTTGCAGGATCGTCTCCAAACGTTGCAATATTCAAAAATACTTGAGCAACTGAAGTAATGATTCTTGGACCACCACTTCCACCTAATACCATATAAAGTCTTCCGTTCTTCAAAACAATAAGAGGACTCATAGAAGATAAAGGCCGCTTTCCAGGTTCCTTAGAATATGCAAACTTGAGAACAACTCAGACCCAATATGTTACAACTCACTACTTCATTTGCTTCTGCTGGAGCTAAACCAAACGAATTTTCACGATTTCCGGTAGAGAAGTCATCCATTTCGTTATTTAAAAGTATTCCTGTAGAGGAAGAAACAAAACGTGCACCAAATGGAAGATTCACGGTTGAAGTAATCGCAACTGCATTTCCTTCTTCATCAACCACAGATAAGTGAGTAGTACCATGATCCTAACATCATTTAGCCAGTATAAGCTTCTTCCATATAAAAAGACTAAGAAAATTACTTCATTGATAGTCCTTTGTGACGTGATGTAATGTGAAGGTGCAAAAGTCTTTTGTTCAACGATACGAGAAAACAAATCGTTCGCCAAACTCTCACTCAACATCTTCTCAACTTGTTCGTCGGTTCCATTTACGAAAGCAGGATCACCTAGTAACATCCTCTCACCAAATGCAAACTTCAATGCTTCCGTTAAACTATAATAAATATGATTAAAAATAAGGCAAAAAAAAGAGCATTACACACAAGTGATAAGAACGACCATTTCTGCCCAACGTATTCATTTTCGCTAATTGCAAAATGTTCAGAATCAATCCTAAAGTGGGTCCACCAGAAGATGGAGGTGGAACACTAATCAAATCCAACCCGTTATATTCGAAATGAATCGGGGTACGTCGAATAACTTGATAGTTCCTTTTCATGAAAAATGTTACAAACTCGCTGATCTTACTCTTCCCATTCACATACCGTAAGTCATCTGCTGTTAGGATCCCACCGGCTCGAATGACATCTTCAGAAAGGTTTTTAGCTAAGTGTTGATACAATGCATCTGCCCCTTTTTCAGCAACCAACTCAAGGGTTTTCCTTAAAGCTACTTGTGACCAATTGTCATTTTCTTCTAACAATACAAATTCTTCATCTTCGCCTTCATAGTTAGAAGAATTGAAATTTTCCTCCACAGTTCCTTCCGATCTTCGATGCATATTCTCCACAGAAGAATTTACACACTCGGAAACCACACGAGAACTGAATTCAGGAGTCTTTACAAAAACTACTTTTGTAAATAATTCCCTTAATGAAGGTGACTCAAAAATAATGTCTTTGTATTCTTTCAGTCGTTTGGCAAGAAGTGGTCCGACCTTTGAAGAACTAGCAAGTTCTACACTCAGCTCGACAAGGGACTTCCATGAAACTTTTCCATAGAGTTGATGTGCTAACTCTAAAGCTTTCAACTCTCCAGGAACTGCAACTGCTTTCCCACCAACTACTGAAGTAGAGCTGTTCAAAAACATTTCCTTTGTAGATGAAGATGGAGCAACTTCCCTTCCGTCCAAAAAATCTTCGGTTCCATTTGCCAAACGAATAAGTATAAAGCAACCACCACCGATTGTACTAGCGAAAGGATTCAACACTCCTTGACACAATGTCGTAGCAATAGCTGAATCAACCGCATTTCCATCCATATCACGAAGGACTCTGATTCCGATCTTGGAGCACTCTGGATTATCTGCGGCAACCGAACCTTTTGCACCTGTAACAAGAACAGACGTAGAGGTTGTTTCCTGTGCGACTCCTATTAACAACAGAAAGCTAAGATCAAAGTGAAAATCAAAAAAAGTCTTACCTGGAAGCTCCGGTGCTTCCGGACTTAGCTTGTGCAATACCACTGGCAAGCCTAATACAACAAAAGCCAGTAACAACAAAAGTGAAATCATTCCACAATAACGAGAGGTTTCCCTGTCCTCAAACCAAGAGTCACTGCTGCTAACTCCCAATATTCTTTTAGCAAGACTCGAAACGCGATACATTAATCGTCTTCCAGTAGATAAGCTTCCAGGCTGCCAATCCCAAGGACCCCATTCACTTCTAGTAGGTTCCAAGTCTATTTCCGTTTCCACCTGATTCAAGTTTCCAAGTAGCGGAGGAAAACCACTTCTTTCGCTAATCCTGTAAGCAGACTTTTCCGAGCCAGCAGGTTGTACCTCGTTAAAGTCATCAGGGTGCCAGTTATTCACGTAAATATCTTCCAATCTAATGTTCTGCGCTTCTTCGTCTTCAACTGGAGAATATGCTGTTCCCTGGATTGGCGACTCAACTCCCCAGTCTCCTCCATTTTCTTGAGCGTTCCTTCCTATGTCTGGGCGTCTGTTTTCGTCGCCATCGTTTGGTAACTTTGCGTACGAACTCATCCTGTTCGAGAAGTGTTCATCCCAATCCCATGGAAAGCATTCAGTGGAAAAGTTGTTGGGAAATCATATAATCACTGACGAAGAAGAGACGATTAGAATACACAAAAGAATAGCACCAAAGAAATGAAACAGGGAGGGAATGCTGGAGTGAAATTTCCAAAAGATGGAAGGAAACTAACAAAAGCATATGAATGCTGTAAAGACTGCGAAAATTTCTTATTCTTTTAGCTTATATGACTGTTAAGCTGAAATGGAAAGGAAATTTTACAATAAGCAAAAACAATAATGAAGCTAATCATACCATTACTTTTACGGTAAT